TATTTAAATCCATTTGACTTTGGCTTGTTGTCAATATTATATTTTATTATATACTAACATACAAGTGAATATATGCATAATATTTGTAGTATACTTTGTGTGTATATGTGTTATGGTTTTCCCCAATTATAATCTGGTTAAAGATACTTGAAAATGGACTCTAGATTAGTGTAATCAATGTTTGGTATGGAGAGGATCTGTTTAGTCCATTACATTTCTTGTTAGAAGGATCAGATCTCAGTTTAAGTGTCATACCTTTTTTTAGGAATGCTGGAAATTGCCTCTAATTCTCATTATGATCTATAGAGAAACCCACATTCGTGACCAAATTGGAGCCTGTGAAGAATGTTCCTGAGGGTACAAGTGTTGATTTCAATTGCCAGGCTGCTGGGATCCCACCACCAACTATCAGATGGATATTTGGAAATCAGGACCTCAGTGTTACCGAGGATGGTAAGTGGGGAAATTCAAAGTATCCGTAGTTCGAGAGTGGGGAAAGTATTTGAGTCGGCCGATGGACTGGATCCCAATCCATCTGGGACAACCTTCCTCATTCCCTTTCATTGTGTGGCAGTTCTCTGCTGTTGTCACCAAAAATTGACTGCAATGACAGCATCATTGCAGTCAAATTGCAGGAGAGCACCAGAAATCCCAGCTGAATCATAGGGAGCATCTACACTATAGAATGAATAGTTTGGCATCTATCTGTTCTGACTCAAGGCTATGGAATAATGGGAATTGCAATTTTACAAGGACTTTAGGCTTTTATGCCAAAGAATATTTGTGCCTTGCCAAACTGCATCTATCAGGGTTCCATGGCATTGACCCTTGGCAGCTAAACCTTGGTGTTAAACTGGATTAATTCTACAGTATAGATGCATCCATAGAGTCCTATCAGTGCACAGGAGACAGCGGGGGCACCTACACTGTTAAATTCATACAGTTTTCACCACTTTAACTACATTTCTCATAATTCCATAGTATTGATCCATGGCAGTTAAAGTGATGTCCGCCTGCATGAATTCAACAGTGTGGATGCAACCCAAGTCTTCTTGCATTCCAAAAAAAGAAAAGGCACGATACTTCTTTGTTTCTGTGGTATTCATAGTATTTGGTAGCAGTTTGCCAAAAGTGGTGGCAAATGATGCCACAAAATGGCCTGGAAAAGGACTATGAACAGTTCACATAATGTCCATTTCTGCTTACTCTCACAAGTTGGCAGTCACCACCATGACTCCTCCTCCTCTGTATTTGTCTTCATCTTCTATTTATTTATATCCTGCTGTTTCTCCCAAAATTGCAACCCAAGGAAGTTTACAATTTTAATAAAGAACAATGCAATGGAAAACTCACAAATAGTGAATCTCCTCCATTCTGGTTGGCAGGAAGAATCTCTGTTGAACATGGGACACTTATAATAAAGGAAACCAGACCTGCAGATGCCGGTGTCTACACCTGTGAAGCCAGGATTGAAGAACGGAATGAAGTGACTTCTACAAATGTTTCCCTCAATGTTCATTGTAAGATTTGCATTAAAATCTTTGTTCTGTGCATTTTAATATGTGTTTTAATTTGTGTATTTTATAGAAATATGTATTAATACATGTGGTTTATAGAATGTTTACAATGATTATTGTTTTAACTATGTTGCAACCCACCTTGAGAAGAGACAGGTAAGAAATAAAATTATTATTATGTGATACACAACAAGATTAATACACAGGTGAGTGAGATATGGCATGCCTTAGTTAGAGGTGAGTGAGATATGGCATGCCTTAGTTTGGGACTCCCTGTGCTAGTGACATATGCACCTATAACACAAAAAATACACGCACGCACGCACACACACACACAATATAATGTAATATAATATATTGTATATAATATAATATTTATAATATTATAATGTAATACAATATAATACTAATAAATATAATATGATATTATAATTATATGTTTTATATTACATGTAATATTACTAATAATATTACAATATAATGGTACAGTACAATATAGTAATATATAATACTGATATTGTACTATGCTAATAATATAATATATTGTGTGTATATATATCTTGTAAGCCACTCTGAGTCCCCTTCGGAGTGAGATGGGCGGCATATAAATCTCATAAATAAACAAGATCACTATGCTGGCTTTTGTATTCGATCACACGTCAGACACTTCTAGATACTTGGACTGTGGGATGCATTGATGAATAATGCATGCAGATCTGAGTAGGGTGGCCTTCTGCAGCTGACATATGGTAATTTTGTTTTTAAGTGCAGGTCAGTATCTTTAGGCATTGCACCGAGTGTGCTGCTCACCACTGGGACCACTTTGACTGGCTTATCCCAGAGTCTTTGCAGTTCGATCTTTAAATCCTCATATCTAAAGTTTGAACTGGCACAACCCAATCACGCCAATTAAAATCATCATCATCATCACCATCACCACCACCATCACCACCACCACCATCTATTTTGGTGTTACAGTAGTTTGATTACACTTTATCACCCTCTGCTCCATTCTATGGAATCCAGGAGGGTATAGTTCAGAGCTCTATGATGGAAACTACAAAAACACAAATCCTAGAAGTCTGTAGCATTGAGCCATGACAGTTAGCTGTAAACTTAATGCACTTTGATAGCACTTTAATTGTCATGACTCAGTGCTATGGGATCTTGGAAACTGCAGTTTGATGAGGTACCAGCACTCTTTGGCAAAGAAGTCTAAAGACGTTCAATGTATTGTCGAAGGCTTTCATGGCTGGAATCACTGGGTTGTTGTAGGTTTTTTCGGACTATATGGCCATGTTCTAGAGGCATTTCTCCTGACGTTTTGCTTGCAGGCGAAACGTCAGGAGAAATGCCTCTAGAACATGGCCATATAGCCTGAAAAAACCTACAACAACCAAGTCTAAAGACCTTATAAAACAAGAACTCCTTAGTTTCTATACCATTGAGCCATGGTAATTCAAGTGGCATCAGAGTGCATTAATTCTACAGTGTAAATGCATTCCTGGTCACCAGAGCTGTAGCCTAGTGCTCAAACGACTACACGGCATTGCTCTCCATGTCGTAATCCTCAAAATATGACAAACAAGCTGCGTTATATTGGAAGTCAATTTGAGTGATATATGTCACTCTCAACTGCCATGTTTAGGTCCGTAAACATCTGAAAAACCTGAGGACTGGAACACAACACTTGATAATGATTTTTTTGATAATATTATGTACATTGTTTCTTTCTAGTGCTATGCATTTCCATCCTGTTTAAAGACTGTATGTGATCTGAGAAATGGCAGGAAAAGGAATAGAAGCCGCAGAGATACAATAAGTTGTGTTTCTTTGAGGAAAACTAATGCTAACCTGTTTTTTTTTTCAGTCACTCCAAGGATAGAACTCCCCACAGATGAATCCTTTGTCACCCAGATTGGGAATCCCTCTCATTTCAACTTCACCATTCTATCCAACCCCTTGCCGGAAGTCTCCATTTCTTGGAAAGGGAAGGTCTTTGAGGATGCTGATATCAAAAAGAAAGCAGAAAGTCAGGATAAATATATGTACTTCTTTGAGGTGAGTGAGATATGGCATGCCTTAGTTTGGGACTCCCTGTGCTAGTGACATATGCACCTATAACACAAAAAATACACGCACGCACGCACGCACACACACACACACACACAATATAATGTAATATAATATATTGTATATAATATAATATTTATAATATTATAATGTAATACAATATAATACTAATAAATATAATATGATATTATAATTATATGTTTTATATTACATGTAATATTACTAATAATATTACAATATAATGGTACAGTACAATATAGTAATATATAATACTGATATTGTACTATGCTAATAATATAATATATTGTGTGTATATATATCTTGTAAGCCACTCTGAGTCCCCTTCGGAGTGAGAAGGGCGGCATATAAATCTCATAAATAAATAAATAAATAAATAAATAAATAATATGCCTATTTTGATGTTCGCTACATCCTCATACAATGCCAGGAGTGAGGAGATAATGAGGTAGCACCTGTCCTGTGGTCAATGCTGCTGCCTACTAATGCAGGTGGCATCCTGTTAGTGGCAGATGCTGATCCAAGCCAACCATACACCTGCGTATGACTATTTTTGCTCACTTGGGACAGTGGTTTCCCTTTCCTTCCTCTGCAGTGACTGAAGCCATCCCTTGGACCACCATAAAACTGCTGAAGTCCCCCTTCCAGACAGTCCACATTTAGAAGAGATTAGGGAATCACAGATATCTCTAGCTCTATCCCTATAGCCAGATGCAAAACGATCATGGATAACAAGTTAAATATGAGCCAACAATGTCATGCGGCAGCTAAAAAAGTCATTGGAGTTTTTGGCCTGCATAAATAAGAGTACACTGTCTAGAAACAGAGAAGTCATGCTACCCCTCTATGTCAGACCACACCTGAAATGCCGTGTCCTATTCTGGGCACCATAATTGAAGGGAGATATTGGCAAGCTGGAATGTGTCCAGAGGAGAGCAACTAAAATGATCAAGGGTCTGGAGAACAAGCCCTATGAGGAACAGCTTAAAGAGCTGGGCATGTTTAGCCTGCAGAAGGGAAGGCTGAGAGGAGACATGATAGCCATGTATAAATTTGAGGGGAAGTCATAGGGAGGAGGGAGCAAGCTTGTTTTCTGCTGTCCTGGAGACTAGAATGCAAAACAATGGCTTCAAACTACAGGAAAGGAAATTTCATCTGAAAATTAGGAAGAACTTCCTAACTGTGAGAGCTGTTCAGCAGTGGAATTCTCTGCTCCGGAGTGGTGGAGGCCCCTTCTTTGGAGACTTTTAAGCAGGCTGGACGGCCATCTGCCAGGGGTTCTTTGAATGTGATTGACCTGCTTCTTGGCAGGGGGTTGGACTGGATGGCACTCAAGGTCTCTTCCAACTCTATGATTCTATGATTACATCAGCTGCTGAGACGTCCAGAAATCCCTGGCACATCTCAGTGGAAGGTGTAATTGCCTTTCATCTTTTTGTCTTTATTAAGTATTCTAAATTCATTTCCCTCTTTATTACTACCCTTGGCTTGTTTATATGATACACCCATATGTTTGGTTATTTTTATATTTCTGTTCCCTCAGTTATATATATTATTGTTTTTACTGTTTACTGTTATTGCTTTAATTGTTTTGATTTGCTTTATGGTTTATGTATCTTGTTGTATTGTTGTTTTATTGAGGCCTTGGCCTTGTAAGCTGCATCAAGTCCTACTGGAGATGTTAGCGGGGTACAAATAAAGTTAATAATAATTATTACTATTATTTATTTATCGTGTCATCCACAACCAGAACATTGTATTACATTTCTAACAGGATAAAACAAACAAACAGATTAAAAAAAACAACACAAATTTTGCAAACTTGGTAGCTGATTAAATGTCCTTTGACCAGTATCTGGCCACTTGGAGTGCCTCTGGTGTTGCTGCAAGAAGGTCCTCCATCGTGCATGTGGCAGGGCTCAGGTTGCATTGCAGCAGGTGGTCAGTGGTTTGCTCTTCTCCACACTCGCATGTCATGGATTCCACTTTGTAGCCCCATTTCTTAAGATTGGCTCTGCATCTCGTGGTGCCAGAGCGCAGTCTGTTCAGTGCCTTCCAAGTCGCCCAGTCTTCTGTGTGCCCAGGGGGGAGTCTCTCATCTGGTATCAGCCACGGATTGAGGTGCTGGGTTTGAGCCTGCCACTTTTGAACTCTCGCTTGCTGAGGTGTTCCAGCGAGTGTCTCTGTAGATCTAAGAAAACTATTTCTTGATTTAAGTCGTTGACGTGCTGGCTGATACCCAAACAAGGGATGAGCTGGAGATATCTCTGCCTTGGTCCTTTCACTATTGGCTGCAACTTCCCGGCAGATGTCAGGTGGTGCAATACCGGCTAAGCAGTGTAATTTCTCCAGTGGTGTAGGGCGCAGACACCCTGTGATAATGCGGCATGTCTCATTAAGAGCCACATCCACTGTTTTAGTGTGGTGAGATGTGTTCCACACTGGGCATGCGTACTCAGCAGCAGAGTAGCATAGCGCAAGGCAGATGTCTTCACTGTATCTGGTTGTGATCCCCAGGTTGTGCCAGTCAGCTTTCGTATGATATTGTTTCTAGCACCCACTTTTTGCTTGATGTTCAGGCAGTGCTTCTTGTAGGTCAGAGCACGGTCCAGAGTGACTCCCAGGTATTTGGGTGTGCTGCAATGCTTCAGTGGGATTCCTTCCCAGGTAATCCTCAGAGCTCAGGATGCTTGTATGTTCTTAAGGTGAAAGGCACATGTCTGTGTTTTAGATGGATTAGGGATCAGTTGGTTTTCCCTGTAATAGGCAGTTAGAGCACCTAGAGCTTCGGAGAGCTTCTGTTCAACCATCTCAAAGCTCCCTGCTTGAGCGGTAATGGCACGATCATCAGCATAGATGAAACTCTCTGTCCCTTCTGGCAGTGGCTGGTCATTTGTGTAGATGTTGAACATGGATGGAGCAAGCACGCTCCCTGAGGCAGGCCGTTCTTCTGTTTCCGCCATCTGCTTCTCTGGCCCTGGAACTCAACAAAAAAGCTCCTGTTTTGTAGCAGGTTTCCTATGAGGCGGGTGAGGTGGTAGTCCTTTGTGATATTATATTTTTTTCTCATGTGTTGTCGAAGGCTTTCATGGCTGGAATCACTGGCTTGCTGTGAGTTTTCTGGGCTGTATGGCAATGTTCCAGAAGCATTCTCTCCTGATGTTTCACCCACATCTATGGCAGGCACCCTCAGAGGTTGTGAGGTCTGTTGGAATAGATATATAAACCCCACTTGCCTAGTCATAGTCATAGTTTGATGACGCACCAATACTCTGTGGCAGAGAAGGCTTAAGGCCTTGCAAAATTTCAACTTCTATAATTTCATGGCATTCAGCCACATCAGTTAAAGTGGTGACAAGCTGCATTAATTCTACAGTGTTGATGTCCTGAGCATGTGCAACTTAAACTCTGGTCTTCAGCATCGTAGTCCAATGTTCAAACTACCAAGCTACTAATGGTTGCTGTACTGAGGGTAAAGACTGTAAAACTCTGTTAACCCCTCGATATTCTATTTTCCTCTTGGCTTGTGCTGTTCCCAAAATAGTACAAGATGTCATCACAGAGAAGGACATTATGGTTTTTTTTCTCTCCAATGGTTTGATTTCAGTTCACTCCAGCTTCACAAGAAGATATTTCAGAGATCTTCATAACAGCTACCAATGAAGTGGGAAGGACAGAGAAGTCAGTTGCTCTTCAAGAAGGTGAGCTAAAACTTCCCATCTTTATTTGTTGGGGAAGGATTCCAGATGTTTACTTTGAAATTTAAACAAGAAAGGGAAACATATAATGTCTAGATGTGTCATCATTCCTACTTCTGCTATTGTCCATCCTTTTCCCAGTCTCAATATTTCAAATTTACATCATACAAATTACCAATAGCATTAGAAACATGAAAAATACAACAATTAAAAAGATCAAGAAAAACAAAGAACACAGTGCATAAAAGGCCATTTCTCCTGAACAACCAGACCTAAAAGGCTTGTCAAACAAAAAGATTTTTGCCTGTTCTGCATGGCACCTCCCATCTCCTCTTTGTTGGCTAGGTCTGGTGGTATTTGCAGCACAGCAACATCCCAATTTGAAGTAATTTTAATGTAAACACCTTCCCCAGAGAACCTTGGAGATTATGGCTCAAGGTGTATGTATCTATGAATCTCTAGAGATTGCTACCTACTGCTCCCCAACTGCGATTCTTAGTATATGTTAGTAAAAGTTAAATTGATACAATATATCAAGGACTACAACTCCCAACATCCCTTATTGTTGGAAGAATGCTATGTCTGTTATGTAGTGGGGTTTCGTCAGACAGCCAGCTGAATATTCTAAAGCTGTCAGATCCCATCTGATCAGACTGGGTTAGAACTCAGATGGGAAATTGCCAATGAATACCAGGTGCTGTTGGTTATATTTCAGTGACAGGAACTGGCAAAGCCACCACTTGAATATTCCTTGCCTAAGGAAAACCAAAGTTGACAAGTAACTTGAAGGAGTTGGGTGGTATGAAACTGGGGGCCCTTCCAGACAGTACCTTTATCCCAGGAGCTTCCGCAGCAAACAGGAGGATGGCCAGACATCGTTCCCTGTAAATGCGGAAGCAATCACTATAAAAGGCAAAAAAAAAAAAAAAACCCAACAAAAAAACCAAAAAAAAACCAAAAAAAAAAAAAAACCATGAGATTTCCAGGTGTGGGAATATCACAGTTTTGAGCCAAATACGTGGATTTTGGCATGTCTGTATGTCCCTGAACTCAAAAATCATGGAATTTTTAAATCTGATTTGTTCCCAGGTGTTAGACGTTTGTTCCTGATTGTTCGGTTCCAAAAAAGAAGGTGACAGTTCAGTAGAATGCGAAAACTTTGTTTTTGTGCCAGAAACTTCATGAAATGTCTGGCATGCACAGTTTCTCTGGCCAGGACAATGAATATAACTTTTGCAGTGATTCACATCTCTGCATATCCACATTGGGAGCCTCCAGTGGCACAATGGGTGCCAGCAGGAGTGAAGACCAACAGGTCAGAGGTTTGAGTCCAGGGAGAACACGGATGAGCTCCCTCTTTCAGCTCCAGCTTCCCTTGCGGGGACATGAGAGAAGCCTCCCACAAGGATGATAAAACATCAAAACATCTGGGTGTTCCCTGGGAAACATCCTTGCAGACAGCCAATTTTCTCACACCAGAAGTGACTTGCAGTTTCCCAAGTTGCTCCTGACATGAAAAATATATATATCCACATCTTGAGGTTTTTGAAAAAAACTGCTGAAATTTCTGGCAGAAGTCCTTGGCTGCCATCTTGGGAGTGTCTAAATCTCGCAGGAAAGCATCAAGTCTGGACAATGGAGGCAAAAATCCCAGGACCAACAGGTCTGTATGCAGATCTTTTCTGAAGTCCCGGGATTTTCTCCCCCTGTTTAAAACCCGTGATTTAGTACTGTCTGGAAGCGCCCTGGGAAATATAAAAGCCAAAGCATAGCAGAAAGAAGAAAACTGCATCACAAATGTAGCTCCACTACAGAAACTATTGGAGAGTCCAAGGGAAGAATGTTTGGCACTGATGTTATCCTCTGTTCCCGTGGAAGAGATTTTTGGCAACAGAGTAGAGAAGTTGCCTTTTGCTGAGAAAGGAAAATACCAAAATCAGGAATATTTCCAAATGTTCTTCCCCTTGGTGAGGAAAGGTATTTTGACACATTGGGGCACCCCATCTAAAGGACTTTCATCTGCTATGGGCCCATTCACAGTATAGAATTATAGTGCTAATATTCCACTTTAATTGTAAGGGTTCAATGCTATCCTGGTTTGGCAATTGAACGGAAGGCATTTAAATTTTTCAGCTGGATGTACCTTGTACCTCAAGGAATAAATCACAGGATTTCACAGTATGGAACCATGAGAGTCAAAGTGGAATAATAGCTCAATAGTTTATGTATTTTGAAAGGCTCTCCATACTTTTCTTTTCATTACCAGCAGTGCAAAAACAATTGTGCAAACAACAAGGAATAGGGTTTCTTTTCAGAATGAGGGAAACTTTCATAACACTTTTTGCAAAAATGTCCACAAATAGGAAAACTCTTTTAAAAAACAGTAGGAAAGTAATGGTAGGAGAATACTTTAAGTATATCATTCTCACACTTGAGCATAAGTAAGTAAATATATTTTTCTAGTAGAAAGATAGCTTTCTAAGATATTAGGTTCTGTCCAGAGCTGGAAACAGGGCCTTTTTTCTCATTTGCATTTGCAAACAGAGGTTCTTCTCTTGTTCCAGACACTCCAGACAAGGCTTTGGGCATAGGTGCCCTCCTGGCCATTGTGTTGGCAATCCTCTTAGTCATCTTGCTAGTGGTGGATGCCTGTTGCTACTACAAACGCCGGCGCGGCTTGCTGATGTACTTCAGAAACAATATCCTAGACAAAAATGCATCCAGGACAATGGTTGAAAACAATGGGTGAGTTAATATGGAGGCATCAAAAAAGCCAATGGAAGAAAGGATAATGACTGGTAATTTCATGTTGTCCTTCTTTGCAAGGGTGTAGGGTTGCCATATGTCCCTTATCATAAGGTATGCTTCTTACCTGAGGATTGGAAAGTTTGTCCTTCTGGGTTGCAAAGCATCCCTTATTATGAGGATTGGGAAAGCTTCCCCTTACACAGAACAAGATGCCAAAAATCCTACATTTTGGGGCATGGAACTTTCATAAAGATAAGTATACGTCATGTAATTTGTATGGTCAAAATATTTATTTTACAGAGAAATATATAGGTAAATAAACTTGTTAATAGCTACTTCTGATTGTCAACCCTGCATGTCATGAATTTTGACTGTCCTCTATTATTATTTTGAAAAACCGACGACACTACAAGGGTGCCCTACTCCTCATCTCACTCTCATGCTGAATGCTTCCATCTCAAATGTTTACTGGATTTTATGCAAGTGAGGCGGTTTTATCATGAGTCTTTTACAACCTGTATCATCTCACCCCGGGTGGCACAATGGGTTAACCCAGGCATGGGCAAACTTGGGTCCTTCGGGTGTTTTGGACTTCAACTCCCATGATTCCTAACAGCCAGTAGGCTGTTAGGAATTATGGGAGTTGAAGTCCAAAACACCCAGAGGGCCCAAGTTTGCCCATGCCTGGGTTAAACCCTTGTGCTGGCAGGACTGCTGACCAACAGATCAGTGGTTTGAATCCGGGGAAAGCGGGTTGAGCTCCCTCTGTTAGCTCCAGCTCCCCATGTGGGGACATGGGAGAAGCCTCCCACAAGGATGGTTAAACATCAAGCATGCGGGCGTCCCCTGGACAAAGTCCTTGCAGAAGGCCAATTTCTTGAAAAAAAATCTCCTCAAACTTGAATCACAGTAACAAACTATAAAGGGTTCTTGAAGCACCTTTGAGAACAATGCTTGCAGGATAAAGTTTTGCAGGCCCAATCTACTTCATCAGATACATATATTCTAAGTCTGCAAAAGCTTATACTACAATCACCATAAGCCTTGGAAATCACCAACACAACAGCCACTTGGAGCTACAATGTTGTCTGGCAGCAGCAACAGTGACAAGGAAAGTCAGGTGACAGTCCAACCAGGCCAAATCGGTTTTGATCCAGAGTCTGCTCCATTGTATGTTAGGCATAGTTCTCAAGCTTTTTAGTAGCAAATGTAATATCCAGCAGAAAGAAACTGATTAATGCACTTTCTGACCAAACTCTTTTATTTCATGTTTATCCCCTTCTTTCTATAGGAAGATGCTTTCAAAGTCTGGAAAGAGCACCGTGGTGAATGTTTCTGGTATTGAAGCCTAATGAGTACAGAGTAATGACCTTGGATTAAGAAATTATGAGGTTGTCTAGTGAAGTATGACTGGATTAATGGGAAATGGGAAAAGAAACCAAAAGCTTCTCCTGTGCCATGTGGTTCTTTACACCCTCCATCCTTACTAATAACCACTTGCAGGTTCTCTTTCATTACAAGTAATATCAGGTAGAATCCATGGCATGCTAAATTTTGCTATCATCAACAGCCGCAGTATTTCAGATATCAAAATAGTTCATTATCCAATCCTCAGGTGTTCCCTGCTTTTAAAACATAAACCTTCATGTGGACATTTATGGCTAGAATCCTGTTGATGGCATACATAAGCATAATTCCCAATTTCATTTGTGTATATATAGTTTTGGACATGATAGAAGAAGCTGTCCTGTTGATGTGGAGATATTGGAAATATAAATATTTATACGTATATTACATGTACATTGGAAACACTGAAATGTAGGAAAAACCAGGTTCTCTCTGTATTAGAAAGCCAAGCTGACAGGACAAAAAGGATGGCAAAGGATCTGTGTCCTAGGCACAGGCAAGGGGGGGGGGGTGAACATTCCAGGAGGAGGTAGATAAGAACGGCCTAGTACCGACAGAGGTAAAAAGCAAGAAGTGGTGCTCTCTCCCTCCCTCCTGACAAGTTAAAGTAGGCCCCTTGATAGAGCTGTGTAAGCTGAATCCTAGTATCTCTAATTTGCTGTAAGCTGTTCTTTAAAGAAAATACGGAGACATGCCTCATGCATGTAGAAAGATATAATTTGATATTTCTGCGATGCTTAAGTGACATAGTGATGGTGTTAACGTATGTAGGAGCATGTTTCTTTGTTTGCCTGCATTTGAAGATGTATAAAAGGGAAAGTCGATGCCTTTATCCTCATTCTGGTTTGCTTTTGGAGGAGATTCCACACCAGGGTCTCAGCTGAAAATAAAACCATACCTTTTCTGCCTCAACAAAGGATTGGTCTTGGTATTATCTCTTCTATCAGCCATAACACTGTACCTCCTTGTGTAATACTCTTACAACAGCAGCTGTCTTGATTTGACTCTGCAGCGATATTCTCACGGCTACCAGATACTGTATATTCTGACTACCCATGTGCACCCAGGGAAGAAAGAATTATGTTTGGGGAAGCTAATATATGCCCATGCTTTCCTCTGCAACTAATCAGTAGCTGAGAAAACCAAATAGTGCCAATGAAACCCCTAGTTGCTGTTGTACAACCAGGGAGGCAAGGAGTAAGATGAAACAGTCAATAATGGGTAAATATCCTACACCACACAGTTAAGGGATTCCAAGATTTAATTCACATGACAATGCATTTATTGTTATTCCATCTCTTTTCAACCTGTGGTCTACATGGAGGAACACCAGAAAATGGAATGGCCTGAAAATTATAAATGGAATAACTCTTGCAACAATCTAATAATAAACAAAAATATGGAGCAATGTAAATGATTTCATATTAAAGAGAAATGTGGATTGAACAAGTTTTTCATTCAGTGATGGCTTGTCCACAACCATGGATGCACCCCACTCCCATCAGTTATTTGGGGATCTTTTCAGATTTCTTTTGAAAGTTAATCTTGAAATAAACCATTATGTAGAAATTGAATCCTGTGGTGGATGTGAGAAGAGAATATCAATCGTCAACAGTGATCTGTTTACCATAGTTGGAAGGCCATCATACTCAGCCAACTGAGAAGATAATGTCTATATTCCTTCTGTGTGTTGCAGATAGTTTTGTTTATATCACCTTTCCTCCTATCTTTATAGTTACCATGGATCTGGATGTATTCTATAATCATAATTGTGCTATGTCATGGGTTTTGCAGTTAGCCTTCAACCTTTTCAGACTTACACACCTTTCATTCATATTTGCACTGTGGAAATATAATGCAAAACATACAATGCATCATGGACATGTTGTGAATGAAATAGGTTACTCTGCAATGCATAATGTACAACCAGAACATGGCATGCAAAGAGAAGCATACCAGCATGAATATCATGTAGAACAGGTCAGAGACTCATATACAGTACTTTTTAAAAAGGACATTGATTGGAGCAATGGGAAACAGAAACAACCAACAAAACCCATAAACCTTGTACTCCGCTGCTCCCAGGGAACAATTCTTTCCAGAGGAACATGCCCTCCCACACTGTCTGATCATTGCAAAGAAATGAGCTAAGTATGTCCCTCCCAGAGGTATACAGTTCACTTCAGGATGAACTCCATGGACATCCTCTGGGGTTGCTGGATGAGGAACAGGACATCCTGCAGCAGTCTCTTGTGTACATTTCATAACCAAAAATACTGTAGGGGAGACACAAGACCTGGGATTCTAAATGTAACAAAGGAAGACAAGCCACTAGACATCATCCACTCAGAGGCGGCCCTAGGTAATTTTCAACGGTAAGCAAACAGTATTTTGCCCCCCCCCCCAATCAATCACTCATATATATTTTCTGTTCGTCATGGGAGTTCTGTGTGCCATATTTGGTTCAATTCCATTATTGGTGGAGTTCAGAATGCTCTTTGATTGTAGGTGAACTATACATCCCAGTAACTACAACTCGCATATGTCAAGGTCTATTTTCCCCCAAGAGTGCCTCAAGAGCGCCCCTGGGCAAAATCAACTATACTGCAAATGCTTACTTTGTGTAATGGGTTGAGCCGTCCCTGCATCCACTGCTTGTGTTCAAAGGATACATAGGCAAATGGAGGGCTAGACCACAATATGGAGCAGATGAAGAAATGAGAAACCAAAATGCCTAGGCTTGAGCAAGCTGCTCAGGAATCTCTTCCAATCCAGCAGAATGTAATAATAGAAACAAGTGATTGCTACAGTGTCTGGCTGGTTCTATATGGGATTTAAGTGCAGTTCTTATGGGGCACAGTGTTTTGAAATGAAGTATGACTTGGTTCAATGCAGAAAACCAGAACTAATTCAAAATCCACTGCTGGGGAAGAGTTCTATAGATACCATAGCCTGCTCAAAAAGACAACTTAATGGGTTCTAGAGAAGAAATTCCCAGGGCCCTGCCACACAGCCATATAACCCAGAATATCAAGGCAGAAAATCCCACAATATCTGCTTTGAACTGGGATATTTGAGTCCACAGTGCCACATATTCAAGTTAAAAGCAGATAATATGGAATTTTATTCAGCTGTGTGGAAGGGGCCCCAGAGAAGTACTCCAGGTGTTTTGGACTTCAACTATCAGCAGCTCCAGACACTTTGGCGAATGGCCAGACATTCTGGGAGACAAACTCCAAAACACCCAGAAGACCAGAGTTTGGGAATCACTGTTCTAGAGCAAATCAAGACTAAACTCTTCCTAGAAGCCAGGAAAACTGGACTGAGGCTCTCATATTTTGCCTGCATTTCCCCAGCTCTTATGTTTTAAATCACTCTTCATGATACCTTGGGAATGTTTTTGTTTCGGGGAGGGGGAGCAAACTACTACTACTACTACTACTACTACTAATAATAATAACTTTATTTATACCCCGCCACCATCTCCCCGATGGGGACTCAGGGCGGCTTACATGAGGCCAAGCCCAAACAACAAATTACAGCAAATAAAACTGAAAACAAGAAACAACATAATTACATAAAACATATGAATGCATAAAAATATAAAATTACAGTAAACACAATCATAGTGACAATGGGCAGGCTATATGTAATGATTAAAAGAAGAGCTAATTAAAAACGGATTAAAAACTCGGGTGAGATAAAGGGGAAACAGGTTATTTGCGGAAGGGGGCTCATTAAAACGGGAGTTGTGCAATCAAACTTTCCCACAAGGGGAGGGGGGACGTAAACAATGACAAAATGTTGAGGCTAAGTAATAATGTGAGGTTGTATATCACTCACCAAAGGAACTACAACTACTAGCTTCTGGAAGTTGTGGAGTAAAAGAGAACATGATGTTATCCTGTGCACCATTTAATGGTTTGGTACCAGCTGTCCAAGGTCACGTTGTAAACATGCCATCCTCATCAGATGCAAACCACTAGCAGCAACAAGCAAATGTTGCTACTAATGCTAGCCATCTGAGGACAAATGTTGCTCCATCTGATTATGTAGTCTGTTAATGATAAGTTCAGCATTTGCTTTGTCAGGAATCCAACAAAAGGTGTACAAAGACTGCATGTTCATTGCATGAGGAAAGAGTGCAGTGGCATCATGACTTTCCAGGAGGGAGTGTTTGACTAAAGGTGGGCACAAGAGGGCATAGAGGTAAGCACAAAAACATGAAGGGACAAACCATTTGGCTCTGTTTTCATAGCGGCCACCCTGTTGGGAAAGAGTATCAGAGAGGAGTCAGACTTCAGATGTCTTTTATATTCCTTCCTGACTCCTTGAAATATGGAGACAGTCCAATGATAATACCACATAGTAGGGAAGAAGTGCCCGTTGTAGCTCATCAGCATGTCTGGTGCTGAAAGGTCCACAGTGGCTTCTAAAACAAGGATTTAGATGCAGAACTGCCAAGCATTCTACAGAATAGTAATTCTTTGGTTCTCCGGTCCCATGTCGCTACCTGGTAATGCAAAGCTGTTTCCCCAGGTACGCAAACAACTTGTTCTGAGGTGGGATGGGGATAAGAACATTTGGCTGTGCAATTCAAGCAAAAGGTTTAGATGCCAATAACTGTCCTTGACTTGTCCCTGTACCAGTTCTTCTTTCTCCCACTTACACAAACATTTGGTCTGAGTGAAAAACACACCAAAGGAACACAGAAATACCTCTTCTGACTGAAATACTTCAATCCCAGCAAAGGAATCACTGTCAGATCTGACCACATTACAGGTGAGTTTGCGTCTCAATTTGCTCTGAATAGCTAGTTTTACTTTTCTGGCCATTTTGAGCTGCCGGAGGGGGAACAGTAATGGTAAAACCTGATTTTGATGCTGGCATGTTATCCACCAGATCATAGTATTTCCAGCTTATTTTATTTTCACTGTGCAGTCTGATCTGAAATCATTTCTAAGTGAACGTGTTTGTCTCCATGTTTCGGAGAGAGGGGCTTGTCTGAAATAAGTGATGAAAGTTGATTCGCTTAGGAAAACCTGATGCTAACAGAGATGAAAATTGTTACACTTGGTTTGTTCATTTTGGCTGTTTGCATTTTTTTTGGATTCTCCCTGGGGATGTGACTATGGGCCCTTTCACACAGCCATATATCTCAGAATATCTCACATTATCTGAGTTCAAAGCAGAGATTGTGGGATTTTCTGCCTTGATATTCTGGGAGAAAGGGCTGTGTGGAAGGGCTCTCTATGGATTGTCAAGGTGACTATCAAAGGCTTTTCATGGTCAGAATCACTGGGTGGCTGTGAGTTTTCTGGGGTGAATGGCCATGTTCCAGAAGCATTCTCTCCTGATGTTTTACCCTGATGTTTTACTATGGCAGACATTCTCAGAGGTTGTGAGGTCTGCTGGAAACTAGGCAAGTGAGGTTTATATATGTGTGGAATGCTGTCCAGGGTGGGAGAAAGAACTCTTGTCTGCTTGAGACAAGTGTGAATGTTGCAATTGGCCATCTTGATTAGCACTTAATGGCCTTGCAGCTTCAAAACCTGGCTGGTTGCTTCCAACAAAGGATCCCCAGGCAGCAACCAGACAGACTTTGAAGCTACAAGGTCATTCAGTGCTAATCAAAGTGGTCAATTGCAACATTCTCACTTGCCTCAAGCAGACAAGAGTTCTTCTCCCACCCTGGACATTATTCCACAGATATGTATATAAACCTTATTTGCCTAGTTTCCAACAGACCCCACAACCTCTGAGGATGCCTGCCATAGATGTGGGCAAAATGTCAGGAGGGAATGCTTCTGGAACATGACCATACAGCTCGGAAATCTCACAGCAACCAGTGACTGCATTTTAAAATTAAGCTCTGTTTCGCTTCTTTCTACAATTTCAAGTCCCTAATATTGCCTTGAGATAGATTGTAACTATCGGCATTGTATTATGTTGCCTCTTTTCTGAAGAGCTTTGTGTACAGCTTATTTGTGAAAGATATGGCACACAAATAAGTCGTCAAATAAATATCTGAATTGTGGCAAGATTCTACTTAATGTGTTTAGGCCATTAATGAGAGACATTTCAGTACACATTCCCATTGTCTGATGAAGAATAAAGAGTTTAGGTACAATGAAATGTTACTGTGTGACATACTCGCATACTAATTAGCCAGACATTCCCCCTTTGCAGAATCACATAACCAAACCTATCCCATCCTTGTTATCTTACTATGGATATAGTGAAAGTTCTAATCAGCACTCTGGTTTTTCTTACCCAGGTTTGGCAATTGCATGGAGCCAAAATGAAAAATTTCTTGGTGCTGTTTTTAATTCATGGTAATGTATGAATAGTTCAGATGTGAATTGTGATTTTTATTGGTCCTTTTGATCTCTGGGAAAACATGGGGTGGAAAAAACTAGTTCCTGCTTTTTTTGTTATGTCAGAAGTGACTTGAGAAACTTCAAGTCACTTCTGGTGTGAGAGAATTGGTCGTCTGCAGAGTTGTTGCCCAGGGGATGCCCGGATGTGTTACCATCATGTAGAAGGCTTCTCTCATGTCCCCACATGGAAAGCTGGAGCTGACAGATGGGGGCTCACCCCATCTTGTGGATTTGAACTGCAGACTTTCAGGTCAGCAGTTCAGCCAGCATGCGGGTTTAACCCATTGAGCCACCACAACTCCTTAGTTCATGTTATATATCATGAATCGGTCCCTATGTGCCCCCTGGGTAGATTTGGGTGACATTTCCCCTAATCATTGGCCTAATAATATGTATTTTGGGTTGTATGGTATTTTAAAACAGTTTCTTGAGATGATAGAAGTGTCATTTAAGATGGACTTACTTGATGCAGGGAGAGACAAGGCAATTTCCTGTGAGATCTAAGGTGCATCTATGATGTATAATTGAATGTATTTTTAAATAGTGTTTTGATTTTTTAAATGCTTGTAGTCATTTTTGATCTAATGTTTTTGTTCTGTACGGTTATAAACAAACTCAACTCCAATTTGAGACAGAAAGGTTGGATATAAGGCAAGCATGCAAGCAAAAGAAGATTGCAATACTAGCCAAACATTATTATACGTAAGGTAAAGGTAAAGGCTTCCCCTGACATTAAGACTAGTTGTGTCCAACTCTGGGGGTTGGTGCTCATCTCCATTTCTAAGCCGAAAAGCTGGCATTGTCCGTAGACACCTCCAAGGTCATGTGGCCAGCATGAATGCATGGAGGGTTGTTACCTTCTTGCAGAAGCAGTACCTATTGATCTGCTCACATTTGCATGTTTTTGAATGGCTAGGTTGGCAGAAGCTGGGCCTAACAGCAGGAGCTCACCCCATTCCCCGGATCAAAACCACCAACCTTTTGGTCAGTAAGTTCAGCAGCTCAGCGATTTAACCCACTGTGCCACTATACATAACCTCCTACTATTCAGACCTTTTTGTTTACATAGGCCTTCAAGGCCAATCATGTTGGGAATTTTTGAGTAATATATCAGGGATGCTAGCTGGACCTAATATTGTTTCAAATGTATGTTTTGTTAACTAAGTTTGGAAGAAAGAAAGTGTTAGGCAAAGAGAGGTCAGCAAATGACCATGGGTTTGGGCAGATAGAAGGAACTGACCAATACATTTCTTGTGTTTCTCCATTTTAGGTTCCCTGTGTCATGGAAATCCTTTGAGCATACACCCTGAAAACCTGGTGACCTGGAAAGGATCCTGTGTGTTGATTCCATGCCAGATCAATGAAACATTTCACTTTGCTTATCTTCCCCTTGCTAGTGTAGTTTGGTCTTTTCGCCCTTCTTCGGCTGATGTGTTGTTCGACTACAATGTTCAACCATTGTTTAACAGCTCCAAAACTTTGGAGGACCATGTAAACCTAATAAGTCCTAACTTTCAAGGGCGGGTGAGGTTTGTAGGAGATCTAGCCAAAAGAGACTGCAGTCTGATGATTACTGATCTCCGCATGAATGACAGTGGCACATATCAAGCAAAAGTAGCAATTTTGGATGAAAACCCTACAAGAGTACATTATTTGTCCCGGAGTGCAAAAATTCATGTTAGAGGTAAACATTTTGCAGATTTGGTTTTTCTTTTTTTTTTTGGCATCCTATATATGAAGATGACAAAATCTGGTCCATTCTTAAACTTGTTTTTGTATACTCAGCACACAGGATCTTCCTAAGTCCTAAGACCTTCATAACATTTTATTTTGGGACAGTTGTTGGTACATGCCTTCAAGTCAATTTTGGCTTATGTCAGGCACTAATAAGAGACCTCCAGTACCGCCAGTCACCAATTGTCTTGCATAGATCCCGCAAACTCATGACTGTGGCTTCTTTGACCCAATCCATTTTGGAACAGTCTCCCTCTTTTCCCACTTCATTCCACTATGATCTTTTCTGATTATTTCATGATATTTCATGATATACCCATGATATACTCATTCATTTGTTTTTTTTAACAGTCCATGGAATCTGCAGAATTAATTTGAAGCATCACTTTTCAGATCCCCCCACCCCATGTCAGGAGTGACCTGCGAAACTGCAAGTTGCTTCTGGTGTGAGAGAATTGGCTGTCTGCAAGGACGTTGCCCAGGGGATGCCTGGATGTTTTTTGTTTACCATCCTTGTAGGAGGCATCTCTCATGTCCCCACATGGGGAGCTGGAGCTGGCAGAGGGAGCTCAATCGTATTCTCCCCGCATACGAACCTGCGACCTGTCAGTTTTCAGTCCTGTCGGCACAAGGGGTTAAAGGGAAAATTTCCTGACCAATGTTATGCATAAATGTGATTGGAATCCTATTTTTAATGCATGCATAAATTACTCTACAGAAATAGAACATCAGTTATGCAATAAGATCACATTAAGAGTTATATAGCACAATCACATGATTCTACATGTGGAGAATTATATAACCTCAATGAAGGATCTCAGCAAATGTATTAAAAAGTAACTACTGAGGTCATTCAGTCATTCTAAATCAATGGTTCCCAACCTGTGGTCCCTGGACCACCAGTGGTCCACAAGAACAAAAATATGGTCAGCAGCCTCACCATTATTGCACCGTTGCCTCGAAACCATGTGGCAACAAAAGCAACTGGTCTTGCAAAACCCTCTTATAGTGCCGAGGCAATGGGGATGTCGGGATGACTATCTACAGAAGATCACTATTACCACATCAGCTCTAGATTATTAAATATGGTTTTTTGTGGGTGAGCAGATGGTGACTACTGGATGGCATATGTTCTTTATCAGAAACTAGAGCTGATGTGGTCCATCCAATGCAATTTCCTGAGTCAGCACCCCAAATAACCAAATTAGATCTAAAGTTGACCAAAAACTGATTCATAATCCTTTTGGTACTAATGTTGGAGAGTAGTCCCTGGTCAAGTGGTCCCGGGTCAAAAAAAGGTTGGGGAACCACTGTTCTAATTTTTTTTTTGTCATGTCAGGAGAGACTTGAGAAACTGCAAGTCGCTCTGGTGTGAGAGAATTGGCCATCTGCAAGGACGTTGCCCAGGGGACGCCCGGATGATTTGATGTTTTATCATCCTTGTGGGAGGCTTCTCTCATGTCCCCGCATGAGGAGCTGGAGCTGGTATAAGGAGCTCATCTGCCTCTCCCCGGATTCGAACCTGCGACCTGTCAATCTTCAGTCCTGCTGGAACAGGGGTTTAATCCACTGTGCCACCGGGGGCTCCTTGTTCTAAATTGAGGCCATACTAAGAAGTCATGTAGAACAGCCCCAAATTTACCAAATGTTTCATTTTCTCACTTTCCCCAAAACATGTACCAATGTTCTCCCTTTTATCTTCTGGATTCAGAGACCCCACCAGAACCCAAGATGGAAGCTAGAGGCATGGAAACCCAAGGATTGTGGAAGATGATAGTGATCTGTTCAGTTTCTTACCATTGCCCCGACGAGCCAATTATGTTGATTCTTCATGGCTTAGAGAAGCACCATCAAGACTGGAACAATGTAAACAGGACAATCCAAACAATAGTGAGTTTTGAACCAACATGGGAAGATGAGAGGAAAAAGGTGATATGCTTGCTGACTAACAAGGATGGGTCACACAAATCCAAGACAACGTTGGAGCTGGATGTGAAACGTGAGTGTGATGTGGGTGTGATATTTTGAATGGGATTAACTGAAAAGATAGTGGCTGAAATCATGCTGTTGTGTAAATGCACATACTTCTGGGTTATATGTATGTATGTGTTCCTTTGGACAGGGCATAAAGAACTATTGAATTACCTCAATATCTGTGTAGATTTTACTACCATTGGCCATGGTATATTTTGCTGGACTACTTCTGTGGCGGGGGTAGATGTAGGAACAGGGGATACAGTGATATTTTCTGTTTATTTGATTCATAAAGTGGCATTGGAGCATTTCTACTGGATCAGAAGGGGATTGTAGAGTGTGTGTAGAGGGGTGTTCTTCTAAGATTTGAAGTTCCCCCTGTGCCTATCAATTTTTATATTTTAAATACAGATTTTATGTGAAGCTGAGATAATCAGAAGATCTGGGATTAGGTTTCAGTCATCTTTTGATGAGACTGAACTCTATTTTTTCATGCCATCTGTTGATCAATATAGATGTAAGGGGAGGGGGAGTAGGATAATATCCCCAACTGGCTTATCTCAGAGGTATAGATCCCACCAATCAACAACAAGTTCACAACTTAAGCCCATGTTTCTATTCACCCAACCAAACTATGAAATGTAAGAAAAGTAAGGAGAACAGTTAAGGCCGGGCTTTAGCACAGCAGGTTAATCACCAGCTGCAGTAAATCTTGCCAGACAAATGATTGAGAGTTCAAAGTCTGGATCAAGGTGAGCTCCTGACCTTCAGCCCAGCTTCCGCCCAACTAGCAGATCGAAAACAGAAATGTGAGTAGATAAATAGGTACTGTTTTAAAGTGGGTAGGTATTTAGGCACAGCAATTCTATCAAAAAGGAGGAAGTTTACAAACAAAAATGCTTGTCAGCAGGGAAGATGGAGCAACAGCACCTCCCTGTGGCTGGAACTGAGCACAGCCTCCAAGTTGCCAAAAGATGGGAAAAGCCTATATATACCTCTATCTATGTTGTCTGTCTTCTCATTGTATAATCGGCATCGAATGTTTGATGTATATGTGTTTATTTATTTATTTATTTATTTATTTACAATATTTCTACTTCACCCTTCTCTCCCCGCAGGGTACTCAGGGCGGATTACAATACACATAGGCATGGCAATCGTTCAATGCCATAGACATACAACACATATAGACAGACACAGAAGCAAGTTAACATTCCAGCTTCCAGCTTTGTGAGGGTATGCTCGATTACAGCCACAGGGGGAGCTGTCGCTTCACCGTCCACTTGTGACACTGAGTCCTTGATGGAATACTTCCTCATTCTTACACACACTTTTGGAAGGTTTTATGGTGCCGTAAATTAGTTAAATTAGCCTCCACGCATTAAACAGTACATAAATTTACTATTTGACAGATGCAACTGTCTTTTGGGCTGTATAGGTCAACAGCAAGCTAGATTATTAATGGTTGGGAGCTCACTCCATCCCGGGTTGGTTTCAAGATCATGATTTCTTGGTCAATAACGATTTAATGCAGCTGGTTACTAACTAGCTGTGCCACAGCCCAGTGCTGTGTGTTCTGTGATTTGCTCTGTCCCCTTTGGGATGAGAAGGGAGGAATTTAAATACTGTAAATAAATAAATAAATAAACAAATAGTATATTGTGAGAAGCAGATGACTCGATAAAGTGTGCACTAAAAGTACTGTATGGTTTAATCTCAGTTGGGTCAGGCTGTTATGAAACAGTGATTGGATTTTATGGTGAGGATAAGAGCCAAGGAGTCAAGACTGATTAATAACAAAAGACAAGTTCCGTTGTTAGGACCAAGCAATAAAGTCAGTCCTAAATGGAATTGCACTACTCCTGAAAGTTTGGGATTTCATAGTTCTTGACCCAGTCTTGTAACTTGAAGTCTTGGGGGATCTAGGCTTTTTCTATTACCTTCTGGTTTGTCAGCTCTTATCATTCCTGGATATGGATAGTGGGAGCACAATGATAGCATGAGATGAAGACTAGTGCAAAATATGTTAATTAAATACATTTCAAATATTAATTTACATAGATTTTTCTCTATTTTATTTACTGGTTCTTAAGCATGTTTCCACATGTACATATATTTGCTGTGATACTGTTATGATCTATATACTCCCTAAAGAAATGCATTGATTTGGTTTTCCAGATAGTCCCCTGGGTGTCCAGCTTGTTCTTCTAAATGATCTACCCATAAAGGAAGGAGATAATGTCAGATTGAACTGCTCCGTGAGCAGAAGTCTACCTGATGACAACTGGTACAACTGGGTCAAGTCAGATTCCCATACTGTGGAACTTAGGTACAGTGGTCCGAAACTACTCACCTTCCTTGCATCACCTGGACCAACAACTTCTTATAAATGTGAAGCATGCAACTGGCTTGGCTGTAATTCATCTCAAGCAGTCACTGTGGATGTTCACTGTGAGTAATGCAATTTAGTTCTTGGATATTTATTACCACTGGCAGTTAGAGCATGTTAATTGCAGAGGCAAAGATTTTATGGGGGTGCATCAATAGGTGGAATTTTACATCAGAGAGACTTCCTAAGATGTATAATAAAGGCAGTTCTAGTAAATGTTGGAAATGGGATGACAATGTCGGGACATTTTATCATATGTGGATGTCTTACAGAAAGACCTGGAAATATTGGACTCCCCGATGAGGCTGGAATAAATGGTTAATGTTAAATTCACAATGAGACCAGAACTTTATTTGTTGAGAATGCTGCATGGCCATCTTGAAAGAACATCTGGAAGATTATTACAACATATGATAACTGCAGCAATAATTGCTTCTGCTCAGAGATGGAAGGAACCAGTTACTCCAACTCAAGAGGAATGGCTGATGAAGATCTGTGAACTAGCTGAGATGGACAAACTGACTATGCCAATTAAAGAGAAACCTCTGATCTAATTCAGAAAGATTGGGACTTGTTTATTACCTTTTGACAACAATTATGGGGACAATTATTCATTGTAGGATTTATGAATGAGACGAATGGTAACAAATGTAGAAGCATGGTCAAGGGTGGAGAATAATAGGAATAATAAGAGATAAAAACCATCAGACAATGAGTGTGAGGTTCATAGAAGTATTTTCTTGTTTGTTTGTTCACTTAGTTTGTGTGTGTATATGTGTGTTGCTGTGTGTTTTGTTTCTGTTTTTGTGTTTTGATGGGGTTAGTAGTAGTATGTGTTGGAGCTGTTTGTAATTTGTAATGTAGATTTCAAAGTATGTATGTATGTGTGTTTAAAATGCAATGCTATGTGCCGAGAGTATTCCTGTGTGGAAAGAGTTAACTGTATCATGGAGGGAACGGCATTCCTAGAGAGGTCATAAATCAAAGTGTATAGAGCAATGGATGCAGTGTTGTGCATTGTACGTCATATGTCACTCTGGAATGCAGGAGGTGTGGACTAGTGCTGATAACAGCGTGTTCTGTGTGCTCGCGATGTAGCTACCAGATGGAGAGGAAGCAGTTTTACGATGTGCTAATGTTTATAGTTGTAAATAAAGTAGTTTATAGCCTTAAGGTGACTGTGATCATGTTTCCTTGCCTTGCTGTGCTGCCGATGTCACTGACAGTTTGTAGAATGTAGCTGTGAAGCTTTTGTATTATATATCACAAATTCTTGCTTATTATTGCCATTCAATAATGTTCTTTCTTTTTCAAATAAAAACATTACCTGTATTTTCTGGCATATAAAGCGACTGAGAAGTATAAGATGATCCCCAAATTTTCCAGTTAAAACATAGGGTTTGGGATATACTCACCTTATAAGACTACCCCTCTTCCAACGCACACCAAATACAAATTTTAAAACATCAGATTTGATTCCAATATGGTAATTTTCCTATTGCCGTACCTTCTTCTCTGCCTCTCAGATCTGTCAAATGTTCCCCTGTGCCACTTCACTGCAGTCCTCAGGAGTGAGATCTGAGAGGCATAGAAGAAGGTATGGTAATAGGATACAAGGGCAGGCCACACAGGTGAAAGAGGCCTGTTTTTCTGGGGACAGTGCCGCTCTATCTCTTTTTTCCATACCCCAGGCATCCCGGATGGTGGCAGCTTGTTCCACCCTTCACTTATACCTTCCCAGTGAGGCGCCCCCTCATCGGTCATCGGGACCATGTTAAATTACTTCTTTTTGTGAATCCTGGTGAGTGGATTTTCTTCTACCATACTTGTTCAGCACCGGCCTTGCTGCTTTCATACGGTCACTGCATATGGTGGGGATCTAGCTACAGCTGTTTTTCAGCATCTGATCTATAAGACGACACCTGCATATAAGACAACTCCCAACTTTTGAGAAGTTTTTTTGGGTTAAAAAGTAGTCTTGTATGCCAGAAAATACAGTAAACAAGTAAAGCAAAGACCGGTTTATTAAAAAACATACAGGATAATCTTATCAGTGCTATCAGAAGTTCAGGTTGATCTAACAAGTGAACATTCATCAAGATTATTGTATGCTGCAGACATCTTTATTTCCATCTGATAAAGCCACCCCTGATTGTCCAATGGCTTAGGAACCATAGCACAGTCACTGAAAAGCAGAACACATGGATTTTTTTTAAAATAGTGAATGTATTTTGATTGCTGAAAAGTAAATATACTACAGTTCACTGTAGTGTATGTACCAGCAGTTCCAAACTGACCTTGGAGATTAAGATAGTCTGGGGAGGTGATGCTTTTGGTTCCGCCTTCTTCCCAGGTGCGACCAGAGGCGGCCCTAGGTAATTTTCAATTGTAAGTAAACAGTATTTTGGTGCCCCCCCCCCAACCAATCATTGATATATATTTTCTGTTTATCGTGGGAGTTCTGTGTGCCATATTTGGTTCAATTCCATCATTGGTGGAGTTCATAATGCTCTTTGATTGTAGGTGAACTATACATCCCAGTAACTACAACTCGCATATGTCAAGGGCTAGGCGAGGCTCAAGGGCTTGGCCCCTTCAGGAAGAGGATCACCCGGCAGCGAGGCAAGGAAGCCGAGGCTCCCCCCGGACTGCTAGAGCTGTTGTGAGCTGAGGGGGTGCTCCTTAAGTGGTGGTCGAGGGGCATTTACAGAGGTGCCTCTGTGCCCCTGGCAAAAAAAAGTGTTCTGCGACCGCTTACTTTGCGTAATGGACGAGCCGCCCCTGGGTGCGACTGGTGGGAACAAGAGACAGGGCCTTCTCAGTAGTGGCCCCTCAGCTGTGGAAATCCCTCTCCAGCAACATTAGATTAACCCCCCCCTCCCCCCGGCCTCCAGAAGGCAAGTGAAAACCTGGCTTTGGTATCAAGCTTTTGGAGAATAGTGCAGTGCAATAACAGATATGGAATATGTACAATGCCTATGGAATGGCCTTGGACTACAATTATGGATGGCATGGTTTTAATATTGAATGTAATGTTTTTAAATGCTTAATATGTATTAATTTAATTTTAATTTTAGTGTTATTGGAATTGTATGTGTTCTAAGGCATTGGATAATTGCCTATATGTAAGCTACCTTTAGTCCTCTTTGGGGTAGAGAAAGGCAGGGTATAAATAGGGCAAATAAATAAATAAACCTCAAGAACTAATGAAAGAAAGACCTCTCCTCAAATTAATGGAATTTGTTTGTACTTTGTAAGCATTGAAAGAGTGAGTTGTGAGAAAGAGAGGCAGCAAATGGTGGGTGGTGGTGGTGGTGGGGAAGTATACATTATTATTTTGACCTTACAGCAATGAAATCATCCTGGATCACATGTCTTAATTATATGTTTCTTTGTCATTTAGTTGATTCCATATGAAAGTGTCTCATTTTGATGTTTTGTTTTTGACCTACAGTTGCCCCCAAGGAGGTAAACATTTGGAAAGGAGCACCAGAGTATATTATTGAAGGCAGTGTTGTACAGCTGAGGTGTCAAGTGGGAATGGCAAACCCACGTAATTTTACCTATACCTGGTACCATGAAGGGCAACAGCTGAATGCTTCTGATGAAATACTCATCTTTCCAGAAATCGCTTTTCAACAGTTTGGCAATTACTGGTGTGAAGTCAGTAACACTGTGGGCACGAACATCTCACCTAGAGTCCTGCTTGATGTTATTTGTGAGTCAGAAACAGAGAGCTGCTAGAATGGGCAGATGATAAAATTTAAGATCCCAATTTTGCTCTAACTCAGGAGGGCCAAGTGTAAAGGAAGTTGAGACCATGACCTACTGATTTCTTTAGCAGCAGTACTGTTGTTCCTGGTATAACAAGAAGGGATGTAATATCACTTTGGGGTTTTAGCTCAAAGATAGTCATTTTCCATTTTTGGAAGTTAATATAGGCAAATGGAGCAAAGGGGATAGGTTCAGCACCTTGGATAGTTCACTTCAGGAATACAGTTAGGAACACATTTTCCATTTTTGGAAGTTAACATAGGTACATAGTAAAGGTAAAGGTTTCCCCCTGACATGAAGTCCAGTCGTGTCCGACTCTGGGGTGTGGTGCTCACCTCCATTTCTAAGCCGAAGAGCCGGCATTGTCCGTAAACACCTCCACGGTCATGTGGCTGGCATTACTGCATGGAGCGCTGTTACCTTTCCGCCGGAGCAGGGCTCAACATAGATACATGGAGCAAGGGAATAGGTTCAGCACCTTGGATAGCTCACTTCAGGTTGCTTTAAAATTTAGGGCCAATGTTTTCCATTTTTGGAAGTTAACATAGGTACACGGAACAAGGGAATAGGTTCAGTACCTTGGATAGCTCACTTCAGGTTGGTTAAATTTTATGACCTCATCAGGCGAGGTAAATTTTGGTGGCCACACCAGTTCCTTTTTAGTTTTGTGATGGGCCCTACTGGCTCCCATTCCATGATGTGCAGCTACTTCCAGCAGGGCTCCATCAGAAAACTAAATGCAACTGTAATGGCAACATGGGAGGCTTCCCGTGTTATATTGGGATCTATGGGGGGAAGCCAGGCAATGCGGGGATGGGGTGATGAGTTCCACATACCCAGAAGGCACCCCCAGATCCTGCAAGATGTGTGGTGATTCCAGCGGCACATATGATAAGGTCCATAGTGTAGACCCATTGCTGGCTAACATAAATACTCTAAATCCCATCAAGGCACCAGATCCTGTCTGATCATGGAAGCCAAGCAGTATCAGCCCTGCTTAGTAACTGGATGGGAGACCACTAATGAATAGCAGGTGCCATCGGCTACATTTTAGAAGGAGGAACTGCCAGAACCCCCTCTGAGTATTTGCTGCATAAGAAAACTCTTTGAAATTCATAGGGTTTCCATAAATCACTAGGCACCTTGAAGGCAAATCCTCATATAACACAATGTCATGAGCACCAATGTCTGTTTTTGTATTCTTCCAATTATTATTATCCGGAACATCTTGGTTCAGATTCAGTCAGCTACAACGAAGTCTTCAAACATTTGCCAAATCTATCAAAGTCAATCTGGACAAAGTTTAGTTTCAGAATTTATTTAAATCTGAGGTACACTCTCACTAAGAGTGTAAGAAGGAATGTGAACAAAGCAAGAAACTGTAGGAAGACATAGAATTTGCAAGAAACACAAGATAAACCTCTAGCCTGAAAAAAAAAAGATTCAAATACACCTATCAGGAATGGTGACCTATTTTGGAGGTGGACAATATATAGCCTCTCCAGGTCTAAATGGTTGATTGTTCACAGATATCAAAATAATGCACCAGGTGGCAACTGAGTGGTAGTTGTACAAAGAATGGAAGTCCAGAGAGTTATATGTGGAAAGGGAAAGTAATCTACTTGCTTCTGACCATTCATTTCTTTATTTCAGGTGACCAGTGTTACAAAACGACATTGAGCATAAAACTCAATTCTCGTGCTTCCTGGAAAGGATCCTGTGTATGGATTCCATGCTATATCAATGAAACTCCTCATACTGTCATTTCTATTTCTGTACTGTGGCATTTTGAACCTGATATTTTGGAGGACGATAATGATCACCTGTTGTATGACAGCTCCAAAACACCAATGGACCAGGTGAACCTAACATCTTCACACTTTCAGGGGAGAGTACACTTTATAGGGAATCTTACCCTTGCGAATTGCAGCTTGATGATTACCCAGCTCCAGACAAAGGATAGTGGCACATACCATGCAAGAGTACTTGCTTCAATTACAAGCTATCCTTGGCCACTCAAAAGATTTATGATTGTTCCAGTAAATGTTACAGGTAAGAGCACGGTAGGGCTGTTACGATTTTCTCACATTGCATATAAGAGTTGCTTTTCAGTCATGACCCTCAGATTTTCCTTTCACAGTATTATCCTGAAACTCGGTGTTCACAACTTTCAGACCAGAACTATGCCAGGTTGATATTGCAAACAGAGAATTATTTCCTTCCACTTTGATGTTTAGAGAAAAGAATAAATCCTATAATAATAATAATAATAATAATAATAATAATAATAATAATAACAACAACAACAACAACAACAACAACAACAACAACAATTATTTATACCTCGCCACCATCTCCCCTAAGGTGACTCGGAGTGGCTAACATGAGGCTAAGCCCAAGACTTACAATACAGCAAAGTAAAATACAGCAAACAGATAATAAACATCAAAGTAATATGTAAACAATAACAGATATACAATAAACAACACAAAATAAAATGGTGGAGAAATAAAACCACAGGGGGCGGGCCAAATGTACAGAATAAAATTGATAAACCCCTGGGTGAAATAAGTAAATGGAGTAGTGCGTGTCTGAGGGGAGAACTCAGAAGGGGCAAACAAAGGGGTTAACCTTCACTAAGGGGCAAGAGAAAGTGCATCAATATGACAGATCTGTATTGGGGCAGACATGGTATGGGGGTATGTGTTCATTTGTCAAAGGCAAACCATAAGAGCCAGGTTTTTAGGCCTTTCTTAAAGGCTGCCGGGGTGGAGGCTTGCCTAATCTCACTAGGTAGCGGGTTCCAAAACCAAGGGGCCACAGCGGAGAAGGCTGTCTCCCTCGTCCCCAAAAGCTGTGCTTGTGATGGATGTGGGAGAGAGAAGGAGGGCCTCCCCAGTGGATCGAAGAGATCGTGCAGGTTCATAGAAGGAAATGCGGTTGTGAAGGTAGGTGGGTCCCAAACCATTCAGGGCTTTGTAGGTGATAACCTGCACCTTGAATTGGGACTGGAAAATGAATCCTATTCCTAACAGATCTTAAGAAATCACAAGGTGTGTGCATGTGTTTGTGTGGAGCTCCCAAATCATCTAAAGTGGAAAGAATTGTCTTCAATGGCTATTAGTACCATAAGCATAGGATGCCCATGGTAGGCTCTGCTGATCCGTTTTGAGTTCTCTAGAGCTCCAGAGTGTTACAGTGTGCCACCATAGCTGCCATTTTAGATGATTCAAAATGATAATGTGACCAATTCCATCTCATTTCAGTCCATGCTGTGAATCTGTTTTGGTGGCTTTGTCAGGATGGAGAGCTACTCTCAACAGCATGATGCAGTCCCTTCAAGGGTACTTCAAGTTTGTGTGTGTGTTGGTGTCTTGAGGATTCAGGGTCCAAAAGGACCCCTCCCAAAGGGTTCCATGTGCTTTTCATGCTACCCTTACTTTATTTGGAATGTAATAAGAGAGTAATGGATGCTAAAAGTATGACCAAGCATGACAGCAAGAAAGTAACCTTGTTTCCAGTCCTGAGAGAATAATGGGTAATAACAACAATAATGTTTCAGAATAAATGAACAAAATAAAATTACATCTTCCCTGCAACTTTTCCTAGTAAATATAGTATTTGTTTTGGCAACACTAATGTATCCGGTGAACTGCTGAACTTGCTGACCAAAAGGTCACCCGTTTGAATCTGGGGAGTGGGGTGAGCTCCCACTGTTAGGCCCAGCTTCTGTCAACCAAGCAGTTAAAACATGCAAGTGTGAGTTGATTAATAGATAGCACTCCGGCGGGAAAGTGATGGTGCTCCATGCAGACATGTCAGCCACATGACCTTGGAGGTGTCTAAGGACAACGCCAGCTCTTTGGCTTAGAAATGGAGATTAGCACCACCTCCCAGAGTCGGACACGACTGGACTTAATGTCAGGGGAAAACCTTTACCTTTACTAATATATCAGAATATGCCAAAAGACAAGGCTAGATATTATGAAATGTTGACCTTGAGGTAAACACTTTTTTATTGTGGACAGAATTCAGGAGAAGTCTTTGTAAATTGATAATTTCTTTCTTCGTTCTCCTCCAAAACATTGGCTTTTATTTTTCCTTCTCTGGGTGCAGAAACATTTCCAGAACCCAAGATGGAAACTGTGCCGGTGGAAATTGAAGAACGGAAGACAGCTAAAGTGATCTGTTCGGCACCTTACCATTGTCCAGAGGAGAATATGACTTTGACTCTCAGTGGCTTGGAGGAAGATCGTTTGTCTTCACAAGATACAACCATTGAAAATGGAGTGATCCGCACAGTGTTGAATTTTGAACCCAGTTTTGGGGACCATGGGAGAGTGCTGAAATGTCTTCTAAAGAGTGAGACTGGGTCACAGAGATCCAGAAATACGATGAAGCTAGATGTGCAATGTAAGTAAACAGTGGAGAAGAAACCCATCCAGCCTGAATCCCTTGTTGGCCTTCATATATTGTTGGGCTGTAACTCACATCATTTTTCATCATTAGCTCTTCTGACTCCAGTGTTTGGAAGGTCCAGAACAACAACATTTGGAGAGTTACAGTTTCCTTATAACTGAATTAGACACATTGTGAATAGGGATAAGTACTAGGCCTGAGCCCGGATCCATTTTTAACCATTCCCTTCAGCCAATCTGGCTTCTTTGGTTTGATCCGGTATCTGTAACGACAAGTGCCCAACCATCATGGATTCCCGTCTATACCGGGACCACATGGCAGCTGATCACAACTCCACTTCATTCAGCATCACAGTTGAAGACTTTGGAGTTTTCTTTATTTTCCTGGTTCTTTTTATTTAGTAGGACTGACTGGGAGTTGGGGACCTGCGGGATGGTGGATGGGGTGCACACGCATGCATTTGGGGGCTTGGAGAGCCACACTTTTAGCTTTTTTTCCTCCTTCCCTTCCTCTCCATAAGGAGTGGTATCTTAACTCGGGTGCTTTTTTAAATCCAGGTCCCCCCGCCCCCATAATGGGCTAGATAGGGTGCTTTCTTAACTCCATTGCTGAAGCCCAGGCTCACTTCAAGGGAAAAAAGGAAAAAGCTCCGAGAGGAAAGGGGAATACCAACCTTTATTTGCTCCACAATGCCAGCATTCTCATATTTGACAGTTGGGCTGGTGTCTTGTACCATTTCCAAATAAATTTTCTTTCTAAGTCTTTATACTTCCCCATTTTAATTTCCTTAACTCACTTCCTTATTTCCTCTATTGTTTGTTTTGTGAGAGGGCCTTCTTTGCCATTTATTTTGTAGTGTTCTTACGATATATTCATCATATTTTATCATCAATAACTGCTCCTGCTAATCAGACTTATTGCTGCTATTCAAACTGGCACTTTAAGGGTTATATATTAATATAATAAGTTATAGTATTAATATATTACTGATGTGCTGTGCTAATAATGTAATATATTGTATACACGTATGATATTGATAATAATATTATAATGGAATACAATATAATACTAATAATAATACAAGAATTATATATTTTATATTACATATTATATTACTAATAATATTACAGTATAGTGGTATAGTACAGTATAGTTATATATAATACTAATATGATGTTATGCTAATAATATAATCTATTGTATATACATATAATATTGATAATATTATAATGTAATACAATATAATACTACTAATAATACAATATAATAATGATATATTTCATATTGCATGTAATATTACTAATAATGTTACAGTATAGTGCTGTAGCACAATATGGGAATGTATGTTATTAATATTGTGCTATCCTAATAATATAATATGTTGTATTTACATATAATTTGTAAGCCACTCTAAGTCCCCTTCAGGGTGAGAAGGCAGCATATAAATGTCATAAATAAATAAATAAATAAATACCCTTTCTCTGATTTCTGTCCTTTTATAAGTATACTCTCCAGTTTACTTTCTTTGCCTATAAATTCCCCTTATCTCTCCAGTTTAAGTTTATTATATTGGCCAAATACTTTTATTCATTTTTTATTTCCCATTTATCTATTATCCCACTAACGGAGATCAATTGACCATTTATATCAACTTGTCCCACTTGACTCAATGCTGAATTCAAATCTCCATTTAGAAATGTGAAACTTTTCAGGATAACTTGAAATTTACAAAGTGGCGAGCCAGGCTTTAAACCAGCCGCTGCATAAAATCTTGATGATCGAAAGGTTGACAGTTCAAGCCTGGGTTGGGGTGGGCTCCCAACCCTCAGCTCAGCTTCTGCTCACCTAGCAGTTTGAAAACAGTAATTGAGTAGATAAATAGGTACTGCTTTGGTGGGGAGGTAATAAAAAGGCACCCATACGGACATGCTAGAGATTTGATCATAAGAGCATCTAAAGACAACAAAGCTCCTTGGCATGGAAGATGGAGAGACAGCACCCCCCGTGGCCGGAGATGCATAGCCTCCAGATGCTGGAGATGGAAAAAGATGGGAAACATTTACTTCTGATTATGTACTGTCTGTCTTTGTTCATTATATAACAGCATTGAATGTTTGCTGAATATGTGTACTGTAATGCTCCCTGAGTCACCCTGGGAAGACAGGGTGGAATATAAATAAAGTATATTATTATATTATATTTGTGAGCCATGCAGCAGAGGATCACAGACCCAGCTGGTCTTGTCAGCCATCTGGTCACCATCTGATGAATAGCCATCTAGATTTCAGACCCTCTGAGAAAATGTTCTTGGACATCTGGGTGAATACAACCAGAGCCATCTCTTGCATTCCAAATCCCTGAACACTGCTACTCTTTCCTGTCTGCCCAAGGTCCCATCAATACCCTTTAAGGAAAAAAATATGCATTCATTCAGTCTTGGCAGTTCCAAATATGATGCAGAGAGGGTGCCTTTAATTCTCTCTCCTTAAATATCACTTGCCCAAAGCTAATATATGAATTTCAGGAGAGGCCTATGTAGGTGATGGGATAAAATATGCATGTTGCTTAGGGATGTAAACAACATCCATGACAAGAAAAGATGTTTTAACACACCAAGGCAACTATAAAAAAAGATGGTCAACTTTCACTAAGGTTTTGCCCCAGGTGAGAGCAAAAAGACCAGCACCTTTCTAATTTGATATGGCTTGCAGGTGTGGCTTTTCATTGTTCATGTGTTCTAGGATTTTCCATGTCCTTGGACAATGGCTCTTTGATATATTCTTTTTCTTCCTCTTACCTGTAGATGCTCCCAGGGGTGTAATAGCTTTGCCTGAAACCAAAGATGTAGTCATGATGGGCCAGTCCCTTCAGCTGAGATGTGAAGTGGGAAAGGCTAACCCCCAGGAACTGACTTATGCATGGTATAAAAAAGAGCAAGAGCTGGTTTCGGAAGGTGTTTTGTTGATCATAAGCAAAGCAAGCAGAAAGCACAGTGGCATTTACCATTGCAATGCAACCAATAAGATGGGCACATCAAGATCTTCAGAGATTGAATTAAGTTATTTCTGCAGGTAAGAAAATGGGAAAATAATCTCATCCCAAAAGGGTTTGCAAGTTTTATTCTCTCCTCTCTCTCTCTCTCTCTCCCTCTCTCTCTCTGCTTTGCACTAATAGACCAAAATGACAAAGAGTTCCATTTTCTTCTTCCTAGCTCATCACAGCCCAAAGACTGCTACCTTAAAGTGTGGAGCCAATAGTGCCTAGTGGTAAGCTGGAAGAGCTAGCCTGCATGAATGGAAGTTTTTTGTTTGTGTGTTATATTATGTGAGTAGAGCATAATACAGGGCAATGTTTTTCCTGATCTTAAAAGGCAGATTTCAAACAATGCTATGACCACTTACTAGCCAGGAGCAAAAAATGTGGACAGAGACAACACTGAATTGCTTTTCTGAAGCCAGGAAAAAAATGTTTATATTGTTCCCCCAAATGTGAATGGCATCCTGCTTTAGGCACTTGTCTTTTGAGAGTAACTTTGAATCCTGGTTTGGGAAAAATGAAAGATATATATAAAATGAAGGATGGATGAATGAACTTATCAGTTGACAACCATTTGTGTACATCGTGTGGCGTAATGTAAAATAAACCACGTGTAGTTCACATTTGATCAGCCCACACACTACCTTGCCAGAGAAAGAAAATATGCCAAGCAGGTGAACAGTAAAGAACAAGTAGTTTACTCTTCTTAATTCAGAACAACATATGTACAATGTGATCAGTTGCATCAACTCACATAAAGTCCTTTTTTGAGAGAATTAAAATAGTATTTCCTTGTCCATGTGGATAAACTTCTTCAGCAGCTCATGAAACAAGAGTACACTCCAACTTCTTTCTCTTTCTGTTTCCCTCTTCAAACTGTCTCTTTCTAAGCACCTGCATAGCTCAAGCCTGAACAAAAATGTAACAGTATCCAAAAGTCCCAGGCTCAGCCCCCCCCTCCCCCGGGCATAACCCAACCAATCAGCTTCATGCATCTTATTTTACAGTTGACACACACACACACATTAGCTGATTCCCTTGCATGCTCCAACACACTCCATCTACTAAACTCTAGTTACACTTCTCTCTCTCTCTCTCTGTATAAAAATCAGATTTACTTCATGGCATTAATGAGGACTGTCTTCCCAGGTCACCCAAACACTACAACATAATATGGATTTTGTCTCTGAGCAGCTTTTCTAACATATTTAAATACTATGTAAGGCACTATAATATCAGGAAGAGAGGAACAAAACAAAGCCTTCTCTCATTGCCAATTACCTGGTAGGATGGTGGCCATGCCCATGATTACAACAACAACTGGAAATTGCGATCCAGCAGCAATGGATCCGGGAGCCAATTTTCTGTTCCTGGGATTTCATTCAGGGTGACATAGGGCCCATCTATACAGAGCAAATAACTTGAGCTGGGGGTGGTGGACTCTGTGGTATCCAAATGACACATAAAGCTAATTCCTGGCAACTCTGTTTAAGGCAGTCTTGTTCTGCATTAGCCACAAGGGGACTGCTTCAGTGCTTCCCATACTTTGGGACAATGTAAACAGTTGGGCTAGTTCCAATTCAGAGCTGGATGCCGCTGCTTAAATGCTCTCCCCACCTTCCCTGGGCATTCAAGTTAGGCTGGCACTTTTGCAAGCATTGTAAAAGTCAATGAGTGAGGAGTAGGAGCATTTTGGAGTTCTGTGGCCAGTGCCACCACTATGACAGCAAAAAGATGACAGTGGAAAGGGTAGCTGTCCAGCAAGACCAAATCGAGTGGATTCCCTACTGCAGAGGCATAGAGGTGGTGAATGCAAACATCCTCCCACTCTGGATCAGCCCTGGGGTATTTAGCTCATGTAGGTGTGCCCACAGACACTCAAAAACATCAAAGAAACAGAATGGGAAGTGTAATTCTTATGCTTTTGAAGCCCCATAGTATCCTTTAAAAATCAGATAAGTAGAACAAAGTGGAACTGAAACAACTGGAAGATTTTATGGCTAGGAAAGATTTAGAGGAGTCAAGGGTCCCTAAAACAGACTTGGGAGCCATCTGCATCCCCATGACCACACTTTGTTTACTATTGCTTCTCCAGCAACCTATTCCCAAAGTGAATTGCCTCTTCTGGAGGGCCAGAAAAAAATGGGAATTCAGAGAGGATGAAGTAGTCGAGAACAACAAAGATGGTCTTTGGAGACTTCATAGGGTTGTCCTTTGCCAACCCCTTTCCTTGTGCTTGCTTAATGTTATGGTCAGTGTATATTTATAAAGCTTCTTTCTTCTCTCCTTTCATGGAAAATATGGATCTTGGAGACTTACTTTCAGAAGGCTCAATGTATAGAAGAAAGCAGCATATCAGGGCCTCTAAGCAGATTCTGGACGTTTCCGATGGGAGGATTCGGAAGAAGCCCAAGAGGAAAAGGAAGGAGAACCAAAACATTCTTCACACCAGATTGATTCTTCCTTTCCTTCCATTTTCATGTCAAAGTTACTTTGTTTCCATTGCTTATTTTCAATTCATTAAAGTTTGTGTGCTTTAAAAAATGAAACGAGAAGTAATATTTCTGCATTGATGCAGGTGGTATGATGGTAAAAACAGAACTAAGTGAAAACATAATTTCATGAAAGAAATTATCTACCTCTTTTCAGGTGTAAACTCTATCACTGGAATTCTGCAGGTGTATACTCATGTGCAAGTTCCCCTATAGAAGCAGTTAGACATTTTTTGTCTGAAACCTCCATATTCAGAAATTGAATTTTGCTAGGCAACCCCAATCAGAGATTTCTTTATTGCTGTGCAGAATTTCCCCAAGGAAGAATATAAAATATACATCTTGATGGGGCAAGATAAAAATATACATCATGGAGAAGAAGAGGTAGAGGAGGGAGAAGAGGGAGGAGAGAAATGAAAATCAAAATAAAAAACAAGATATTTAGATGTGTGACTGTGGCCACCAAAAGTCTGTCCCTAAAAGATTTTTGCCTGCAAATCATGCAAATTACTTCAGGGCCAGTAATTCCCCACCTTCCTCTTCTTGTGCACATATTTTGAGCTTTAAAAAGGGAACTGCTGTCTGATGCTTTCATTTAGCAATACACCAAATCAGAGATTTCTTCATATTCAACTTGATAGCAAGACAGTTTCCTAAATTCTGGCATTTAAAGGTAAGGTGGCATTTTCTACTATGGACAGGCTGGCTTTTCCATTCCAAACTTTGTTTTTATCAGAGAGCAAAACTATGCAGCCAAGCTCAAAACCAACTTCTATGTATATCATGGACTGCCAAAAAGAAAAAAAAAATGAGTCAAGGAGCAAATCTCCCTAGAAGCCCAAGTGATCAAATCTGGGCTTTCACCCTTTGAATATATCATGAGAAAACATGCCTCCTTAGAAAAGATAGTGATGCTTAATAAGATTGAATATAAATAAAATAAAATAAATTAAATAAAACTTTATTTATATGCACCGCTCCATCTCCCCTAGGGAACTCAGGGCTGTTTCCACAGACAAACATGAAACATATAGAGTAGCCATTAAAATATAAAGGCTGTAGGAAAAGAGAAAGACCACATTACAGATGGATTGGTTCAATCCATTTGCAGGATCTGAGAGGGCTGTTGATGATAGGGATAAAGGAAATAACTCTGTTTGCAGAGTCTTATATTCCATGCAGATGTATCAGCATTTTGGTTTTGTGCATAGATAGAAAGAAAGATATATAGATAAATAAATAAATAGATTTTGACTTGCTTAAAGTCAATCATAAGCAATGCAGCTCCTTGTTAGGTCACAGCCTAAAGGACATGACAAGAAAAAGAAGAAAAAAATGAGTAGCACTGTTTATTTATTTATTTATTTATTTATTTATTTCGGTTGCTTCTACCCCGCCCTTTTCACCCCGGGGAGGACTCAGGGCAGCTTACAAAAGCAAGGCACAATTCGATGCCTGCATTACAAAACAGCAAAGGACAATAACATCAGTTAACAAAACAGCAATTTTAACAATAACAACAATTAACAGAAAACAATAATTATTATCGGCAAAAACAACCATAAAACCAGTAAAAGCAATAAAAGCAATAAAACCAATACAAACCTCATTGACGGTCAGCGTTTCACAGTCTCATAGTTTAAGTTCCAATTTCCACAAATTGTCGGTCCTATCCATCTGGTTTCCATATCTAATTGTCAGGATGCCCAAAGGCCTGGTCCCACAACCACGTCTTTACCTTTCTCCTGAAGGCAAGGAGGGATGTTGATGCCCTGATTTTGTTACAGGAAAACTGAATCTTCTAGCAGGCCACCATTCCTATGTGTGTCCCCCGAAAACAAATCCTCTTGCTTCAATGAGACTCAATAAGTTAGTTTGGTTTCAGTCCCAGTGTTATTCTGCTAGTTTTAAGATGATTGTATATTCTTGCATGTAGTAATGGAGTTGGGTACATAAAGATGATGAAGGGGACACCATCATTGTTTTGTGTTGTGCTACTTTTGAACGTTAAGCCATCTTAAATTAGGAGACAATCATAGAATCATAGAATCAAAGAGTTGGAAGAGACCTCATGGGTCATCCAGTCCAACCCCCTGCCAAGAAGCAGGAATATTGCATTCAAATCACCCTTGACAGATGGCCATCCAGCCTCTGTTTAAAAGCTTCCAAAGAAGGAGCCTCCACCACACTCCGGGGCAGAGAGTTCCACTGCTGAACGGCTCTCACAGTCAGGAAGTTCTTCCTCATGTTCAGATGGCATCTCCTTTCTTGTAGTTTGAAGCCATTGTTCCGTCCTAGTCTCCAAGGAAGCAGAAAACAAGCTTGCTCCCTCCTCCCTGTGGCTTCCTCTCACATATTTATACATGGCTATTATATCTCTTCTCAGCCTTCTCTTCTTCAGGCTAAACATGCCCAGCTCCTTAAGCCGCTCCTCATAGGGCTTGTTCTCCAGACCCTTGATCATTTTAGTCGCCCTCCTCTGGACACATTCCAGCTTGTCAATATCTCTCTTTAATTGTGGTGCCCAGAATTGGACACAATATTCCAGGTGTGGTCTAACCAAAGCAGAATAGAGGGGTAGATCTAGACACTATGCTCTTATTGATGCAGGCCAAAATCCCATTGGCTTTTTTTGCCGCCACATCACATTGTTGGCTCATGTTTAACTTGTTGTCCATGAGGACTCCAAGATCTTTTTCACATGTACTGCTCTTGAGCCCCCATTCTGTATCTTTGCATTTCATTTTTTCTGCCTAAGTGGAGCATCTTGCATTTGTCACTGTTGAACTTCATTTTGTTAGTTTTGGCCCATCTGTCTAATGTGTCAAGATCGTTTTGAATCCTGCTCCTGTCGTCTGGAGTATTGTCTATCCTTCCCAATTTGGTGTCGTCTGCAAACTTGATTCCATGCAGTTGTATCAGCATTTTGGTTTTGTGCATAGACAGAAAGAAAGATAGATAGATAAATAAATAGATTTTGACTTGCTTAAAGTCAATCACAAGCAATGCAGCTCCTTGTTAGGTCACAGCCTAAAGGACATGACAAGAAAAAGAAGAAAAACAATGAGTAGCACTGTTTACTGTTACAAGGAAAACTGAATTTTCTAGCAGGCCACCATTCCTATGTGTGTCCACTGAAAACAAATCTTGGTTCAGTGAGACTCAATAGGTTAGTTTGGTTTCAGTCCCAGTGTAGTCATTCTGCTAGTTTTAAGATGATTGTATATTCTTGTGTGTAGTGATAGAGTTGGGTACATAAAGATGATGAAGGGAACACCATCATTGTTTTGTGTTGTGCTATTTTTGAATGTTAAGCCATTTTAAATTAGGAGAGAATTGGATATTCTTGTTTCTGGTGATGGAGTTTGGTATGCTTTGTGTACTGTCATGGAGTCTAACTATTTATCAATCATTCAAAGAACTACTGCTTGGTGCTTCTACTAGCAAAAGTTCCTTTTGTGCACCACACCCCTCTTTGCTCTCTTATTCACATCACATTGTATGGAAATCAGTTTTACCAGAAATACCTCAGCCTGAACCACAGAGACCTAACCAGGCTTGACTTTGCTGAAACAGATGTACTGCTTGGTGCCACTACAAGATGGTGAAAAGGGAAGTTAATGTGACAGATATAGGACCTTTGTGCTCCTGGCTTTTTTTTACTTGAATAGCTTCACAACTTGTAGGTTTCCACAGAATTTGCCAAGAAGGGTTTGTACTATACTCAGAAAAGGCGCTATCTGGTTAATCCCTCAAGCTCACCTCTAGCTACATCACAGTTTACATTCCTTGAAAGACATACATTTTTATTAATTTTTTTGGAGACTCCATCCATGATTTGCAGGACAAGGAGCACCCGGTGGCGTAATGGGTTAAACCCTGTGCTTGCAGGGCTGCTGACCAAAAGTTCGGTGGTTTGAAGCCAGTGAGTGGGGTGAGCTCCCATCTGTCAGCTCCAGCTTCTCATGCGAGGACATGAGTGAAGCCTCACACAGGATAGTAAAACATTCGGGCGTTCCCTGGGCAACATTCTTGCAGACGGACAATTCTCTCACATGAGACACAACTTACAGTTTTTCAAGTAACTCCTGACATGGAAAAAAAATTGCAGGACAATGTGGCAATTCTATTCTTAGCCTTGTCAAGGTGTAGTGGTCTTGCTGTTGTCTCTTTGGGTGAATATTCTCAATATTCCTAGTGTAATGCAAACTTGGTGTGGCCCTCACACACCAATCTCTCCATCAAAAAGCAGTGAAAGTTTTTTGCCGTGTCCTGAAGATGGATTTCCAAATTTGCAAGGCTGACTTGTGAGAATCACTATAACTTGCCTTTTTTTGTGGACAATGTAATATAAGAGTATCAGCATGCAATAAGTACTAAACAGGAATATTTACACACAAAAATACCTTTTTATTCTGTACTGGAAATTATTTTCATGACTAATTTTTGTGTGTTTCTATAAATATGCAAGCTTTTAAATAACTTTTTTTTTGCATGGAGCGTTAAACGTTGGGAACATTGGATGGCCTGCTTGCTTCTTTGTGAGCAAACAGCGTGTTGTTTATAGTCTGCATTGTTTGAGAGCCAGGCTTCACAAAATAAAGAGACACCAGAGACTTCTTAAAAAATAAATTGTGCAAGCACGACAAACATGACTCATTTTCCTAATTGATCCAATCTGCCAACCCTAGTTTGTACCCTAATAATTGATCTATGCTTCAGAATTGCATTTACTATTAAAATTCGTTTGACTCAGAAGCAGTTCTGCTTACCCCCCAACTCCTGCTGACTATATACCTGTGATCCATAAAGCACATTCCAACAATTTTGTGGGAATCTCTTATGTGATAGGTAATGACATAAATAAGTCAAAGGCTTTAATCATTTTTCTCTGTTTCCCAGGTTTGGCTCATGCATGGATGTATAATGTGGTGCTTCCTTTGGATGTTCTTCTTTGAGGGTAATTCCCCCACTACAGTCTATGTGTGTGTCAGAAAAAGTAATTTTGGTTACTGATATAGTTATTTTAAGCTCACAGACCACTTCAGTTTACATGCAACCTTTGAGAGCCAGCATGGTGTAATGTTTAGAGCAGGGGTCCTCAAACTTTTCAAATAGAGGGCCAGGACACAGTCTCTCAAATTGTTGGAGGGCCAGATTATAATTTGAAGAAAAAAAAGAATGAATTCCTATGCACACTGCACATATCTTATTTGTAGTGCAAAAAACACTTACAAACAATACAATAATTAAAATGAAGAACAATTCTAACAAATATAAACTTGTTAGTATTTCAGTGGTAAGTGTAGGTATGCTTTTGGCTGATGAGATAGGATTGTTGTTGTTGTGTGCTCTCAAGACTTAGGTTGACCATGAGCAAGGGCCAGGTAAATCACCTTGGAGGGCTGTATTCGGCCCTCTGGCCTTAGTTTGAGGACCCCTGGTTTAGAGCATTGGGCTATGATGCTGAATTCCTTCTTGACCTTGGGTAAACCACACTCAGCCTTGAAGTAAGGCAATAGCAAAGTAAATCATGACAATAAAACCCTGTAGTAGGTTTACCTTTGCATTGCCATAGGTTGGAAATTAATCGAAGGCACACAACAACAATAGTCTCAGACACTGAGATCATCCCAAGCATTAATGGTAGAATAAGAACAGGAAAATCTGGTGCTTTTGCTTTCCCTGGCATAACCATGTTTTTAAAAAATCTCAAACTTTTGGAACCCCAGATATGAAGGGGATTACAATCCCTGGGTTCCTGAGCCTTGTTCTGTTTGGTATTCAAACCAGCTGTCTCCACAGATTCTAAGTCAGAGGAAAGCCCAAGTTTTGCCAAATCTACGCTAATCTAAATGGTCAGAGTATATGTGGCCTGAAGCAGCATGGCTTGTCCATGGTTATCCAGTGGGGTTCCATGGCCATCCAGTGGGGTTCCATGGCCAAGCAAAAATTTGAATCTGCTTCTCCCATAGTTCTAGTGCAACACTCAAGCTAGTACACTATGCTAGCTCTCAAAATGTTAGCTAATACTTAAATATGAGCTGAACCAAAATTGTTCTTGTCTGAAATAGTGAAATTCTAGAGATACATCTATTCCCAGAACAGAAAGGAGCATGCCTAGGTACTGCAGATAAGTAATGTTGCAGGTGGAAGAAAACATCTAGCAGTTCTAATAAAGCATTAACATAGAGGTAAAATATATGTGAGAAAATTTAATTCCAGACTTTTAAGAATTGCACATTCAAAGAGGCTTCCACAGACAGGTGAAAGAAAACCTTATGTTTGGATTGCTCTGAGTTTTCTGGGCTGTATGGGCATGTTCCAGAAGAGTTCTTTCCCAACGTTTCACCCACATCTATGGCAGGCATCCTCACATATAAAAACCCCACTTGCCTAGTTTCCAACACACCTCACAACCTCTGAGGATGCCTCATAGATGTGGGCAAAACATCAGGAGAAAATGCTTCTGGAACATACCCATACAGCTCGGAAAACTCACAGAAACCCAGTGATTCCGGCCATGAAAGCCTTTGACAACCTCATATTTCTTCTAATCTAAATACAAGAGCAAAAATGAAGGATCAAGAAACCTGTCTGAAAAGTACTTCCCACCTCTCCAGGATAATTTCTGCAGAGAATTATTAATTGGGTTTATTTGCCAGCCAGTCATACAGGGTCACAATTTGAGAAAATAAAAAAACTGAAAACATCAATGAGAGGGAAATTTTAAGAAGAAAGAGGAATATCAAAACAAAAGCAGATGCTTGAAGACATAATCTGATGCAGCTCTGAGGAATTGTTCATTCATACTTCTTTGGATTTTAAACCTTTTGTGTGTGACAACACCTTCCAACTTCAGGGCAATATGGGGAGCAGGACTGATATAAGTGTGCTCTTTTGTTTTCCTTAATTCTTTTGCTAAAAATGGTTAGTTAAGTGGAACATATTTTTGAAGATAAGATTGTAAAGATAACCTCAGTGAGAGCAATTGGTTTCATGTTGCATGTTTGTATGTTTTACAAAAGGAATTACTAAAACTTTATCAGATGGGATTAACAAGCCACTATAAAAATGGTGATGGTTTCCCCTGACAATAAGTCTAGTTGGGGTGGTAGTGCTCATCTCAATTTCTAAGCCGAAGAGCTGGCATTGTCTGTAGACACCTCCATGGCCAGCATGACTGCGTGGCGAGCTGTCACCTTCTTGCAGAAACAGTACCTATTGATATACTCACACTTGAAGGTTTTCAAACTGCTAGGTTGGCAGAAGCTGGGCCTAGCAGTGGGAGCTCACCCAGCTCCCTGGATTTGAATCAACAACCTTTTGGTCAGCAAGTTAGGCAGATCAGCAGTTTAACCTGCTGCACCCCAGGGGGCCCTTTTTAAGCCACCATGCCTACTGTTTATTAATTACTGGTTGTCCCCACAATGATTTAGTGAGTATTACAGGGTAACCCTGTGTTAAGGAAAGCCAGGAGAAAAGCCCAGAATGACTCTGTAGCTTCAGGGCAATATGGGGAGCAGGACAGTGTCCAATTTGACCAGTCTGGTGTCTGCACAGGTCACTGTTGCTATCTCCTTTTCCATACACTCATTTATGAAGGCGAAGTCAGGGAGAGAGTTCAGGTCTGTGTGACCACCTTCAGCACTGCCTGATAGCTCCAGAGCTCCTGGGAGCTCCTGGACACCAAGGGTACTTCTTGCTGACACCAGTGTGGTGTTTGCAATGGTCAGAAGCTCTCATAGAACTCTGTATCTCTTTGGTAGGACAGATGGTGACACAGACAGTAAGCAAATGGTACAACAGGGCCAATGTAGTTTTGGTTCAACTGGATCATCTGGACTCTAATTGCCGGCACAGGTTCATACCTTATGGGTGTGGAATCAGTCCAGAGCATTTATGACTCCAGATTTACTGACCAAAATAGAGGATACCTACCTAAATTTCCTTTGGGTGGGAGAACATTGTGAAGACCTACTCATTCTTTTTTTGTTTGCTTGTTTTCTGGTTAAAATGTCTCATAAGCTTTGTCATTGCAGGTGTTTTATGTGTTGACAATCCATTAGTCATCAGCCCCAATATCCTGATGGCTTGGAAGGGATTCTGTGTATTGATTCCATGCCAGATTGAATTAAGACATCCTATCACTAAACTCAACAACATCTCTCTGATATGGTGGTATAACCCTGTTTGGATTCCTAGCCTGGAAGAGTTTAATGGCACCATGTTGTACAATGGCTCTACAACTTCAGTAAACTATACAAACCCAGCAAGTCCCCTCTTTCAAGATCGGGTGAGGTTCACTGGGGATTTACACAATGGAAACTGTAGCTTGAAGATTTCTCAAGTCCAGGAAAGTGATACTGGTATATTTGGAGCAAGACTTTATGGCTTTGTTCAACACAGACCTAAAATACTAAAGTGGTTTCTCAACACTACTATTACTGTTTCTGGTAAGAGAACCTTTTGGATATTCTCTTCTTGCCTTCTCACACCATACATCCTTTTTGTGTGCTTGCAATAAAGTTTGAACTGATGATTTTCTATACTGGAATAATAGTTTTCATTATGTATATTCATGAGGAGTACTCATAGAGTTTTCTTAAAGTGAAGATTATGTTCACATCTACACTGAGCATTTAATGCAATTTAAAATAGTTTCAAAGTAGTATTGAAGGAAATGATTTTATTGTGCAGATAAACCTGCAGGACTGAAGACTGACAGGTTGGAGGCTTGTATCCGAGGAGAGTGCAGATGAGCTCCCTCTGTCAGCTCCAGCTCTCCATGTGGGAACATGAGAGAAGCCTCCCACAAGGATGGCAAAAGATCCAAAACATCCAGGCATTCCCTGGGTAACGTCATTGCAGGCGGCCAATTCTCTCACACCAGAAGCGACTTGCAGATTCTCAAATTGCTCCTGACACACACACACACACACGCGCGCACAAAATGGGCAGATAATTGCATAGGAAATCCTGGAACCAGTTTGAGGCGAGGATGTGATGACACAAATCAAAGAGCACTGGTGCACATTTCAGACTTTGGATTATGCACTTCTGTGTGAGTTTGTTGTCTAGCTATGACAGTTTGAATCTGGCTTCGAACTGTATTAAATAATTAGTGTAGAGAAGGCCTGATTTTTTGAAGGACTCCCAGTGTTGGGAAGGGAAAACAGATCTCAAGCTATGGAAATAATCACTGCACCGATGTATGTTTGTACTCTTTTTCGGCATATGTTAGTTTTTAAAATTTTCTTGATATATTTTTCTTTATTTTTCCCAGTAAATGGGGAAATGATCAAGTCGGAAGGTGCTGTGTTTTTTAACTTTGAATATATTTTAATAGTTTTTAACTGGGAATTTTAAAATAATGTTTATGTTGTAAACCACTTTGAGTCTCCTACTGGGGTGAAGTCAATAAATAATACATATTTAATCCTGACCAAATGTTTGCATATTTGTATATTTTAAATTGTATGCTGATGCTTTAATGTTAAGCTGCTTTGAGTCTCCTGCAGGAGAAACCAATGTATAAATACTACTACTACTACTAATAATAATAATAATATGGTTTTTTTTTTAAAAAAACAGTAGTTCAGCATGTTCCCTTTATCTTCTGTTTTCAGACTTGCCTCCAAGACCCAAAATAACATTTAACCCCCAGCAAATCCAAGAAAAAACGACAACTGATGTGACTTGTTCTGTTTCCTACCATTGTCCTGATGAACCAGTAATGGTGATTCTCACTGGCTTGGAAAAGGGGCACATGATTGCTCAAAAAGTTATTGAAAGGGACAGAGTGGTCCAAACAGAGCTGAGGTTCATGCCAACTTGGAAGGACCACAAGAAGCAGCTGACGTGTCTGCTAAAAAGCCATAATGGGATAGAAATTTCTCAGCATACTGTGGAACTGGATGTGAAGTGTAAGTATCTCTCTAGTGGGGAAGGAGGAAGTAGAACCCCTGAGACTCTTTGAAAGAACTTTCTGTTTGAAAGAAGTGCAGGAACACCCAACGCTTATCCCAATGTGAATGGCAAATGCTGGTTCCATTCATTTCAAAGGCAGCTACTTGGATTAATTTGTATGTTGCTTACAATCAAATAGTTGGAAGACACCATAAGGACCATCTGATCTAACCCCTTGCTATGCAGGATTAATTTAAATAACTTGCATATAGTTTAATCTAATTAATTATATGGGAGTATGCATAAGATAATAGATATGAAGGGAACATGTGCAGCTACTGTGTGAAAAATGGCATTTCCACAGTTTAGTGAGAAAGAGAATGCCTCTTCTATTAAGCCTCAGAATATTTCTAACTTTAAAAAAATACCATATTGATTTGATTCTAAGATGCCATTGATTGTAAGAAGCATAATAAAATTAAGAGTTAATGGACAACAACCATTGGTGGAGTTGGATGATGTTTTTTTAACTTTATGTATTGCTTTTTATATGTTTTTATTTTTATTTTTTAACATATTTTATTATGTTATAAACACAAATCAATAAGCCAAATTCCAAGTGTTACACGTATAAATCCTGAGTAATTCAACAAATATTAAAGACATTATGCTAATTTACACTGGTGTAGATTACCTGTTTCCCACCCTCCCTCCCTCCTCAACCACAGTATATTTCTACTAATCTTGTTGATCCAGCCACTGGTAAAGTCTATGTATTTTTTTCTTTGATGTGATAGTTATTTATTGTATATGTTGTTTTATGATATTTATTGTATTACATTGAATTCTTGCTGTTAGCCATTCTGAGTCCCTCCACGGAGGGAGAGAAGAACAGGATTCAAAAGTTCCAAATAGTAATAATAATAATAATAATAATAATAATAATAATAATAATAATAATAATAATAATATAATTTCAGTACCACCAACACAATGAGTGCATAAATGAATGTGTGTGTGTGTGTGTGTGTGTATCTCACACCTATGATTGAAAATTTCAATCCATTTTTAGAAGTGTTTATATGGTGGAAAGTGTGTGTTTAGTTACTTTAAATAATCCACCATCCAATTAGGTGAAAATTGGATGATCCTGTTTAAAATCAAGGGTCTTACATCCATTTGCTTCCTCATTTTTGTACAAGATATTTTAATTTATTTTCTGTACATTATCTTGTTCCAGATGCTCCTCAGGGAGTTCAGTTGACTGCTACTCCTTACATCACAGTCAGAGAAGGGATGAAACTGTCTCTCAAGTGCTTGGTCAAAAGCAGTAACCCAGCTGTGTCTTACCAATGGAAGAAGAATAATGCCATCACAAACAATATTGATGATAAAATTGAATTCAGTTCAGTGCAAGAAGAACATTCTGGCCGCTATAAATGTACAGCTCAAAATGAACTTGGAGATGTTGAGTCAAATGAACTGACTATAGATGTTCAATGTGAGTTGATTCACTGGTCTGTTGGATTATGTTTCTTGACCCATCGGTTACTAAGTATGCATCGATAACACATTAACTGCAATGGCTCAATACTATAGAATCCTGAGTTTTATAATTTGTTGAATCACCAACACTATTTGACAGAACAATTTGCTACTGAGCATATAAGGTCCTAAATGGTTCCGGCCCAGCTTACCTGTCTGAATGCATCTCCCCCTATGAACCATCTCAGAGATTAAGATTTTCTGAGGAGGCCCCGCTCAAAGTCCTGCCTCCTTTGCAGGCACGGTTGGTGGGGACGAGAGACAGGGCCTTCTCTGTGGTGGCCCTTCGGCTGTGGAACTCACTCCCCAGCGAAATTAGATCAGTGCCCTCCCTCTTGACCTTCAAAAAGAAAGTGAAGACATGGCTGTGGGACCAAACCTTTGGACGGTAAAGCAATGCAGTTCTAGAAATGCATATGGAGTATGTACAATTGACAATTGGAATGGCTCCGGAATACGATTTTGGACTAAGATGTTTCAGTTCTAAGTTTTTAATGTAATTGTTTATCTTAATTTATTGTTTTTATATGGCATTGAATCATTGCCTCTCTCTAAGGCTGCTCTGAGTCTCCTTTGGGGGGAGAAGGGCAGGGTGCAAATATGGTAAATAAATAAATAAGTCCTTGTAAAACTACATTTCTCATGAAGCTGCAGCATTGAGCCATGGCAGTTAAAGTGGTGTTAACCTGCATTCATTCTACAGTGTAATTTCACCCTACAATCTCTGATGTTGGCCTCATCTGTTTTTCAGTTTTGCTGAAGGCTCTTTCATATACGCCTTTTCATTTAAGCAATAGAGAACTATAAGGGCAGAAAGCAGAGAATTATAGTTTGCATTCTGTATTGTTGTTGTTCATTCGTTCAGTTGCTTCCGACTCATGAACCAGCCCACACCAGAGCTCCCTGTCGGCCGTCACCACCCCCTGCTCCTTCAAGGTCAAGCCAGTCACTTCAAGGATGCCATCCATCCATCTTGCCCTTGGTCGGCCCCTCTTCCTTTTTCCTTCCAGTTTCCCCAGCATCATTGTCTTCTCTAAGCTTTCTTTTCTTCTCATGATGTGGCCAAAGTACTTCATCTTTGCCGTATTCGTTCACGGCATTCCAGAGCACCTCGTCGTCCCGGTTCTTCCTTGACTCCTGTACCTCTTTCGGCCATCAAAGTGGTGTCATCTGCATATCTAAGGTTGTTAATGTTTCTTCCAGCAATTTTTACCCCAGCCTTGCATTTCTCAAGCCCCGCACATCACATGATATGTTCTGCATACAAGTTGAATAGGTTGGGTGAGAGTATATAACCCTGCCGTACGCCTTTCCCAATCTTGAACCAGTCTGTTGTTCCATGTCAGTTCTTACTGTTGCTTCTTGGTCCTTATAGAGATTCCTCAGGAAAGAGACAAAGTGGCTTGGGATGCCCATCCCACCAAGAACTTGCCATAATTTATTATGATCCACACAGTCAAAGGCTTTAGAATAGTCAATGAAGCAGAAATAGATGTTTTTCTGAAACTCCCTGCCTTTCTCCATTATCCAGTGGATATTGGCAATTTGGTCTCTCGTTCCTCTGCCTTTTCTAAACCCAGCTTGAACATCTGGCAACTCTCGCTCCATGTATTACTGGAGTCTTCCTTGCAGGATCTTGAGCATTACCTTACTGGCATGAGAAATAAGTGCCACTGTACAAAAGTTTGAGCAGTCTTCAGCATTTCCCTTTTTTGGTATGGGCATATAAGTTGATTTTTTCCAGTCTGATGACCATTCTTTTGTTTTCCATATTTGCTGGCATATGGCATGTATCACCTTGACAGCATCATCTTTCAGGGTTTTAAACAGTTCAGCTATATTCTGTATTGCCATTAATACTTTCCAGTTTTTAAATAAGCTGCCTCTCCCAGAAGACTAAAATTACAGGTGGAAAAATAGGAAAAATTATTTGCCATGTCCTCTGGTTTGTGAAAGAGCTTTAAAAATAATAATCATCATCATCTAATCCAAATAATCATCATCAATAAAAAAAACTGGGTGGGGTTGCATGGGGAAGGTACCTGTGGGTGAGAGCAACTGTGGGCTACCTGGGATACTCTAAATTCCACCTTTCTTTTTATTTACTCAGATCCACCCAAAGAGCCCAAAGTTCAATGCCCATCATGTGGAAAGATCAAGGAGAAGAGCCTAGTGGTCTTACAATGCTCTTCAAAAGGCAATCCTCCCATCCGTCGCTATGAATGGTTCAAACATGGTGAACCATCTAAAATCAGCATGCAGAAGGAGCTGCATTTTCAGACAATCCAACCCAGTGATTCCAACACCTATTTTTGCAAAGTCTACAATGGCATTGGCAATTCAACATCTCTTCCTTTCATGCTGGATGTTCAGTGTAAGTAAGCACAGGTTCTGGAGATAAAGGGTTTATAGCTATCATGTGGGACTTGCAGTCTTACAAATGGTTTTGGACTACAACACCAATCATCCCTGGCCATTGGCCATACTGGTTGGTGAATTTTCTCAGCAGCAATTTAGTGTCAAGATATATTACAGTCATAATGCAAAGTATTTATGACTAGGTCTGGAACGAATACCCACAATCCATTAACATTACAATGTACCGGTACTTGGTATTGGTGGAGACAAAAATTGTTGTAGCTGGCTACTCCCTTTGAAGTGTGAGGTGGCAATTCAGAGAAGGAAAATGCAACAAGCCCAAACTCATGGGGAGAAGGAATAAGAGTATCATCTCAGAGGGAAACACATGGATGCCATTAAGAGGATTCTCTGTCTGAGTGATCTTTAAAGCCTTTAACTATTCTTACTCAAGGATTTCAAAGTGTAAGTAAGTAAAAGTGTTAATTGAATTTTTGAAATAGTCCTTAAATTTTTAGAAGACTCCACTATGGAGAAAAAAAGCCACAGCTGAGGCATCCATCTTTATCCATAGTGGATAAACACAGGGGACATCCGGTTGTTTATCTTTATCCCAAAGGCTCTTGCCTGTTCCTCTCAAGTAGAATATACATTTGCTATAATGTTATAATAAAAATAAATGTATTTATGTGATTTTTTTTCCAGATGGCCCCAAGAATGTCCAGATTGCTGTTTTAAATCCCTTTCCCATAAAGGAAGGCGATACTATCACATTTAACTGTTCTGTGGGCAGCAGTAACCCCAAAACAAACAAATACAAGTTGTTTAACTCAGATGTGGCTGTGAAGTCAAATATGATGTCAAACCTAATAACCTTCCCTGCAAGACCCGAAAGCATCACTTATTACAAATGTGAAGCATGCAATGATATTGCCTGTACTCAATCTCCAGCAATCACTGTGGATGTACACTGTAAGTCTATTTGATTTCCCAATTGTATAATTTGGAAATGCAACAAGTTTATTGGGAATTGGGGAGATCATGGGAGGACAGTTGTATCCATTCAGTATTCAATGCACGGGGCTATATATCTTCACTGTCCTTTAACATAACAATTTTGGAGTAATAGAATAAATACAGCTGGCATAGTTAACTCAGATAGTCAAGTTTGGAAAAATGGAGCCTTTTTATTATCAGACTATTTGTACAGAAATGAAACACTATGACTGGCATTCTGTTAATGATAGATGCATTTAACATGCATATTTCCTTTTTTTGGAAGCTGTAGAGGCTAATATCCACTTTCTCCTTCTGCAAGACCTAAAGACCACTTCCAGTCTCAGACACCCATGCATATATACATTCCTTGCCTCATGAAGTAGGTTTGGAGGAGCATCTCGTTTTAAACAGAGGCTGGATGGCCATCTGTCAGGCCATCTGTATTGAATGCGATATTCCTGCTTCTTGGCAGGGGGTTGGACTGGATGGCCCATGAGGTCTCTTCCAACTCTTTGATTCTATGATTCTATGATGGTTAATTATGTCTCCATATTCCGCCATCACCAAATACATTTTCATTTACATAGTTGGTGGCTATATCTCATTAGGCCAGTGGTTTATAACCTTTGGTAATCCAGGTGTTTTGGACTTCAGTTCCCACAATTCTTGACAGCTGGAAACCTGGCTGGGATTTCTGGAAGTACAAAACAACTGGAGGACCAAAGGATGGGAACCACTGCCTTAAGCAGATGCAAAATAATTGCAGTAGCACTGGCACTTGGTAGATCTTCTCAGTCAACACTAATGTAATTATTTCACATTTGGCTATAAGAACATAAGTACATCTCCAATGTTGCCCATGCTGCACGAGGCATGGAATGGTTCTGGGCATTGGGCAGTGCTTCGAAATTCATATGGTAAGTTTGGTAGGTGTGTTATATGGACTTTATTGCATGAAAGAAGCAAATAGGTACAGAAGCCATGTTCATCCTGTTGCTGATCTGTGATTAACTCATCCTCCACTGTTGACAAGCAAAACCAATCAATAGTTTTCTATTTCCCTTTGTTCCCATCAACTATTTGGGATGAGATTATTTCACTGCTGTGCTTGAAATGCTGGCACTGAAGTGACATCAAAGGATGGGATCCTTCTCCATTCCCTCACTGCTCTTTATTATTCCCGAGGCATTTTTTTTATTTTTAGTATTACAGTCCACAAATTAGGAATAAAGATAGGCTCGTTCTTAAACTGAATTTTGTAAAGTTGGGACAGGCATATTTTTTAAGTGTATCTCAAACTAAATGTGTATTTTTTTTAGTTTTGGATAGCATAGGGATTAACAACCTTGTGATGTTGTTTTGCTGCCTGTGCCCCTGTTTAGAAGATTTAATTTTCTGTCCCAGTGATAATTGGATTTTGAAAAATTTGGCTTGTGGTAAAAACAAGGATTGGTGAGAAAGTTTCAGTTGAGGCACCTCCCCTAATTATTTCAGGAGTAAATTGCCCTTCTGAGAGGTAGATTTCTCTCACATTTTATTGTTTCACCCCCATTCTTAGCTATGAATCATTTGTAAATCAGATGTTTGTAACTCGGGATTGACTGGGTCCAATTTGGACCAATTTGCTGTTCACACAGGTCACTGTTGCCATCAGACTTTCACTACACTCAACTCTGGGACTGCCTGTATTTCATTTAATCATTTAATCAACTACCAAGCTTGCAAACTTTGCGATTTGTTTGTTTGTTAAAAATGCAGTACAACTGTTTGGTCTGCTCCTGACATGATAATTTTTTTGTTATTGATCATACCTGCAATAATAATAATAATAATAATAATAATTACCTTTATTTATACCATGCCTTTCTCCCCATGGGGTCTTAAAGCAGCTAAAATTCCCACACTTTAGTTAAAAAACATTTAAATAGTATAGCATGATAAAAACAGATTAAAATAAAATAAATGAAATACACTTAAAATAGCCTATAAAACTCATAGTCCCACCCCCCAATCTCACCCACAACCTCCCCAGAATCTTGCCCCTTATCTTTCCCTTGTTGACAGAAGAAGGTCTTGACCTGCTTGTGGAAGGCTAGCAGGGATGAGGCCATCCTGGTCTCTCCTGGGAGCAGTCACCGAAAAGATCCTCTTGTGTATTCCCACCAAATATGCTTGAATGGGTCCTGGGACAGAGAGAAGCCCCTCCCCAGTACATCATAGATGTCTACCATATTCATAGAAAGTGTTATAGCCCTTCAGATAACCTGGACTGGAGCCATATAGGACTTTGTATGTCAAAACTGGCACTTTGAATTGTGCCTGGAAACGTGTTGGCAACTAGTAGAGCTGTTGCAACAGCGGAGTTGTATACACCCTATAGCCATCCCCATTTAGCAGTCTGGTTGCTGCTCTTTGGACCAACTGAAGTTCCTGAGCACTTTTTAAAAGCATGTAAAGTGCATTACAGTAGTCCAGTTGTGATGTTACCAATTGCAGCAGAAGTACGATAGGGCAGGTTTATGAGCTATGTGGAAGCATGAGTAATGCAACTGTAAATTGGCAAATTGGTGCAGTTATGTGACCAAAGAGACATGTGATATCGAGAGTGTTCATGCCAGTGTGCAGCTGCATGAACACAGGTGATTTCATTCTTTATTTATTTATTTACTTCACTTGTATACCGCTCTTCTCAGCCAACGGCGACTCAGAGCAGTTAACAACCAGTATCAACAATACAGTACAAAATCATTAGTCATTTAAAACAGCAATATCAATTAATTAACATCAGGACATCAATACAACAATACAGGAAAACAACAATCCATCATGTCTCATCAATAGAATCAGCATCCGATCTCGTTGTCCATTAATCCATATTCCAGTAATCAATCAGTTGCATTGTTTAGTTGAAAGCCTGTTCAAAGAGCCAGGTCTTCACTCTCTTCCTGAATGCCAATAAGGAGGGGGCCGATCTAATGTCTGTAGGAAGGGCGTTCCACAGCCGGGGGGCCACTACTGAGAAGGCCCTGTCTCTCGTCCCCGCCGTGCTTGTGAAGCCGGCGGGTCCGAGAGCAGGGCCTCCCCAGACGATCTTAATGTCCTAACTGGTTCATAGGAGGAGATGCGTTCAGACAGATAGGTCGGGCCAGAACCGTTTAGGGCTTTAAAGGCTAAAGCCAGCACTTTGAATTGTGCCCGGTAGCAAATTGGCAGCCAGTGGAATTGTATGCTCCCTGAGTGCCGCTCCTGTTAACAACCTGGCTGCCGATCGTTGGACCAATTGAAGCTTCCGAGCAGTCTTCAGAGGCAACCCCACGTAGAGAGCGTTGCAGTAGTCTATACGGGATGTAACCAGAGCGTGGACTACCGTGGCCAAGTCAGACTTCCCAAGGTACGGGCGCAGCTGGCGCACAAGTTTTAATTATGCAAATGCTCCCCTGGAAACTGCCAGTGGCTTTGCGAGATAAAGTCTTATGGCTCTGTCTAGTGTAGGTCTGTATGCAGAACTGCTGTACTATGTTGAGCCATGCGAAAATGTAGCTAATGGTCTCCAAGTGCTTTAATAATGTTGTGGATCACAAAGGTTTTCAATACTGTCTAGCAAAACTGTGGACATTTTTTTTAAAAAAAGCCTTATGTGAAACATTGATCCATGGTTTTACCACAGTGGAATCAAATTGTTTTGGGAAGGAAGATTCAAGACTCAGGACAAGTGAGTGTCTCTATGTGATTTTTTGTTGTTGATTTGTTCCCACAGTTGCTCCCAAGGACGTAAGAGCTGTACGGCAGCCATCAGGACTGATTGATGAAGGCTCCACTGTGAATCTGAGTTGTGAAGTGGGAAGAGCGAATCCCCAGGAGCTCACCTATATATGGTACAAAGATACAGATGAGGTAGTGTCTGAAATGCGCATACTGACCATCCAGCAAGTGACTTCAAGAGCTTCTGGCAATTACCACTGCAAAGCCAAGAACAGTGTGGACGTAGTATCCTCCTCAGCTGTTTTGCTGGATGTCCGTTGTGAGTAAGAAAACGAGAGAATTCTGTAGATGTGTGTGCATGTGCGTGTACATTTAAGGACTTCATCTGATGGAGCTGGGGAAAAAAGGGGGACTGTGGGGAAAATCATCTTCTTTGTGTGGGGACTCATCTTCTTTGCATGGTGTTCCATTTACTTTTATTTAAATCCTATTATTAATCCCAATTATAATAGGGCCATTCAATCAGTCAGTTAGTCAATCAAACCTATGTGAACTGATCATTCAAGAACCTCTGGTGCAGGTCTCCTCTAGTTGAAACTAACCAATTCATCTCACTCTGTAGTCTTGTGGAGAACATAAAAGACAATTGCTTAGTTGAATAGCTCTTTATTTTCTTTCTGGCAGATGGGCCCCGTGACGTCCACGTATCCCTGAATCTCCAGGAAGCCATCATCGAGGGAAAAGATGTTTTCCTGCAGTGTAAAAACACTGCCAATCCTTCAGCAAATATTTATAAGTGGTACTGGAATGGAGAAGAGATGGCTCAGAAAAATACTCCAGTCCTTGAACTCCGGAAAGTTGAAGTTGGGCAGTCAGGAGATTATTCTTGCCAAGTGTCAAATCAAGTTGCGGAGGGGCAGTCACAGCCTTTGGCCCTTATTGTATCCTGTGAGTAATTCATAGCAACAGAAGGTTAACATTCTTTGTTTAGGACCTGTAATGTTTAAGATTATAATGAATTTAAGCTGTTATGCCTTATTGATATAGCTATATTGTAAAGCCATATCGATCCAATTCATTGAAAGTGATAGATATTATGTATGTACTTGTAGCTTCAGAGCAAATGGGAATGCAAATAGAGTTAGGTATGAACTGTTAACTTGAGATGGTATAGCTTATCTTTCAAAAAAAGGTGTTGAGTTTTATCTGGGGATAAAAAATATCCTGGGACTCAAGGCTGTTCCTTGACTAAAAATTTTGTAATCTTGGAGTAGTCTACAGTCCTGAAAATTATAGCCTATGGTAATCTGTACTGTACTTTTGAACAAAGTTCTTCTATCTTCAAGATGGACTTATTTTGGAATTAGTCAAGGTCTGTGGCTGGCACAGGGCCAGAACTATTTCAGCACAAAGATATCGTATGTGCACTTCGTACAGAATAAATCCTGAACTGTTATGATTTTTGACAGTTCAGAATTTTCCTTCACTCCCAGTGACACAGGCCCTATACTTTAAGTGGGCAAGAGTTTGCTCCATGATGTTTACGTGACACACAGGATTATTCATCCCTCAATGTGGGGTACCTGCAGAATTTGGAGAGGTGTTGGGGATTGCCCTTTTCTCCCTCCACGTTGTGTGAGAATGCCTAATGAAGTTTTACCCCACATTAGGTAAAGTTGGGAAATGCTCCCAAACTTTTGCAAAGCTCCAAGGCAACCCCACACTTTGGAGCTGTTAACAATTGGACTGGGTCCAATTTTGAACTGATTTTATTGTATGTATGGACCAACGCTGCCACCCTGTGCTCCACAGTGTGAAGAAAATGGGGTGGTACTTACATGTGTCTTTTTTGTTTGTTGCTGTAGCAGTGGCCACTGGCCACGCAATTCTAAAGAGCTTAAGGCCACAGGTGGGTGTTTTCGCTAATGTCATTAAAGGAACCCAGATAACTTGGAGGGAGAAGGGGATTTTGACACCTACCTTCCCCACAAGTTGTGAACACGCCTTTAATGGCAACCAAAAAATGACATAGACAAGAATGGGCATTCCATCACCATCGTGGGATAGTGGCACACAGTGTAGCTTCCCTCAGGACTGAGCTGGAGGACTGCCACTTCACACTGGCCCTGCATAAAGTATCCCAAATTGATGTGCCCTTTCAGAGAAATCTGTAAGGTAGAGAGGAAAAAAGTAATAACTTTAAGTCTAATTGTATTTTAAAAATAACTTTCCAAGGTCTTGGGGAGACCCCTATTGGTGAAAGTGCAATGAGGAACCAGGTGCATTGAACCAGCACAAACTTGTACAGAGTTTCTTGGGAGCAGGAATAAAACTTTTCATGGTTATATCCAAGACTCGCAAACTGTGCCCGCTTTTCCTTTTGTATCATACAGATAGCAGAGCTACAGTACTGAAACGTTCCTTGATTGGTTTGGGCACAGTTCTTGCCCTGATTGCCTTGCTGGGATTGCTGGCCTATGTCCTGTGGAGAAGGTAAGTGATGGTTTGGGAGATGTGGTAAGTGAGAGTGTTGGGAGGACTAAAGATGGAGCTGTCTATAGCTGCACTTAATTTAAACTAAATAAAATATAATGCTACAATGGGGAATTATATAGGTAAAGGTAAAGGGTTTCCCCTGACATTAAGTCCAGTCATGTCCAACTCTGGGAGGTGGTGCTCACCTCCATTTCTAAGCTGAAGAGCTGGCGTTTTCCGTAGACACCTCCAAGGTCATGTGGCTGGCATGATTGCATGGAGCACCGTTACCTTCCCACTGGATCGATACCTATTGATCTACTCACATTTGCATGTTTTCAAATTGCTAGGTTGGCAGAAGCTGGGGCTAACAGAAGGAGCTCACCCTGCTCCCCAGATTTGAACTGGGGATTCCATAGAGTGGAATATATTCTATGGAGACCACTCCTCCTGTCTTCCTCAATGCTAGTCATGGACAAGTCATCTCATTTCCAATGCTGAAAAAATTCTCTATAGTAGGAAAGAGCTTACTGTGCCCCAGGGCTTGCTTGTGGCCTTGGTAGAGCAATTGCTTTAGAAAATTCCTTTTCCTGATGTGAACTAAAATAGACAAACTAATGGTTGGTATGAAGTAATACAGCAGCCTGCCTTTTTAAAACCTTGCTTGACTTTGTGACTAAGGTGACTCTCCTAATGAATGCTTGCACTCTAAAATGCAGCAGTTACACAATGGGGCATCAAAAATGAACTTTAGTGAATTTCTTCACAAACTAACCAGCAGGAATATAATGTCTTTTTTATCATTGCAGGAAGAAAAATATTGATTCAGACACTGATGGAACACAGAGATCTGGCTCATTTTTTGTAAAGAAGGTTAAGTACTTTATTGGTTCAACTAACTTCAGGACAATATTGGGAGAGGAAGGTTGTGAGCTGAGCTGATTGCAAACAGAGTTTTGTTTTTTGTTTTTTTTTTTGGTCAGGAGCGACTTGAGAAACTGCAAGTTGCTTCTGATGTGAGAGAATTGGTTGTCTGCAAGGACATTGCTCAGGGGACGCCCGGATGTTTTGATGTTTTACCATCCTTGTGGGAGACTTCTCTCATATCCCCGCATGGGGAGCTGGAGCTGACAGAGGGAGCTCATCCGAGCTCTCCTCGGATTTGAACCACTGACCTATCAGTCAGCAGTCCTGCCAGCACAAGGGTTTAACCCATTGCACCACCGGGGGCTCCGCAAACAGAAGTGGGACTCAGTCCACTTGAAGCTCTTGCACTGTAACTCCCAGCGGGATTAACCAGTCTCGCCTATGGGGATGAATACTGGGAGCTGCAGTCCAACAGTATCTGGGGGTCTGCTGCAATCTCACACCAGACCTAACAGTGCTCATGTATGCTTGTCTGCCCAGAAAAAAAGGCACACACCAATTTTATCTCTGACATTGCAGCACTCATGGAAGCTTTTTCATGAGAATTAACCAAAAAAGTCCCACAATTTGCCAAGGATGGAGCAAGAATGGTCTTGTAATGCCAAGAGTGGAAGACCTCCCTTCCTGTTAAGCCAAGCTCATCTTTTATTAGATAGAATTACTCCATGCTTTCCAGTGTAAAACTCATAATATGGTGTACAAAATAGATGCACCAACTATACAAGGAGATGAGTATAAAAACTCAAACCAAACGACCACGAGCTAAATCATGCTTTGAATCAAGGGCTTGTTGCATTGTTTTCCTTGCTAGGAAGTTGTTGACATCATATGCTAGAAAGGATGTAGACTATTAAAATGTGAATGTGGTGATATATGATATCTTAATATAACAACAACTCTGTAAGCTACCCATTTTCTTTAATTTGTACCTTGCCCTTCCTCATAAGAGTTCAGATTGGTTAATGATAAATATGTGAACTCTGTGTACATAAAATTAAACCTACCTCCCTCCCTCCTGGCAGAAGAGTAAATGCCATTTTGTTTCCTAGGCCAAGGGACAAAAACTGTGCAATAATAACAACAGAGAGAATGAAGTGAGAGCAGATGGCTCTGTTGGATTCCTGAACCAGGGTTCGGAAGGTTCCGTTACGTATGCGACTGTCCAGTTCCGTTCCAACTTGCCTGATGATCGCGTGGTTTATGCTAGGTATAATTATGCTTGGCAAGGTAGAAGGCCATAGGAAAAGAATAAGTCCCAGTTGGATAGACTCAATCAAGGAAGCCACGGTCCCAAGTCTACAAGACCTAAGCAAATATGTTGATGACAGGGGACTTTATGGCATAATGCTGATCTCCTGCTCCATTACTGTGATCAGGGACAGTGGCAAATTAGTAGCACAATGGCCCTCAATTGTTGCACCTCAGCAGGAGTTCACCTTGCTCACAGCACTCACCAGGAAGCCACATGTGATAATAAATAGTTTATTGCTGAAGATACATATAAAAAGGGTGAAACACCAAAAGCAAACGAAAGGGTAAAGATCCAAGAGTTAATAAAGAATAAAGTCTCAAAGGCAATAATCCAAACAGCTCAAAGCTGTTTCAGAGAAGAGGAATCCCCAGAATCCAACATGAGGGTAAATCAAGGATGCAAGGATTAAAACATGAACATGAATCCCGCCCCCCCAAAAAATCAATAATAATAATAATAATAAAAACAAGGAACAAAACATGACCATGAATTGAAAGGTATATCCATAGAACAAGGAGCTAAACATGAACATGAACTAAAACCTGAGGGAGTTACGAGACAGCAGTCTTTCACTTAGAATCATAGAATCAAAGAGTTGGAAGAGACCTTGTGGGCCATCCAGTCCAACCCCCTGCCAAGAAGCAGGAAAATCGCATTCAAAGCACCCCCGACTGATGGCCATCCAGCCGCTGTTTAAAAGCCTCCAAAGAAGGAGCCGCCACCACTACTTGAGTAGTGACATTACTTGATCTAAAATCCCAACAGAGCTCTCCCTAATTTAAGGACTGCATGAACATGAACACATTTCTTTGACCTTGAGGGGCCCACTTCAGCCTCTCTTTCTCTCGGATTCTTTCTAACTTCCTGTACTGGAATCTCTTCCCCCTCAGAAGCAGCCTGGTATCCCTGTCTATCTCTGCTCCCTCGGATGAGCTCATGCTATCCTCCTCTCCATGCCTGCTGGATTCCAAAACAGTTCCACCTTCACACTCTGCCTCAGAAACAGCATCTTGCTCTAAAACCACCTCTGTTTCCTCATCTACCCCTCATCTTCATCTGGCTGAACCACAACATCAATATTGTAAATTTCCAAACACTGCATAATTGCAAGGCTTCAGTAATCTAAAATATTCTATGACAACACTTCTGGTTGAGTGGTATACTTCTGCCTTCCCATACTTCTGCTGCTCTTGATTTTTTTTTTAATTAAGAAAATCAAATAGCTTCCATTACAGTCCCAATGGAGCAACCTACATAAAGTAAAATGTTGACATAGACAAATGATCTATTTTACCCCCTGAGGCCATTGACAAATAATTCTACACACTTCTTCTAATATCTTTCTAATCATAATTTTTGATTCCTTGTAGTATCAATCAACCAAAAACGGCTGTTGAACCCTCAGATGCAAGTGACATCTACAGCATGGTAAAGAAACCTGGACACTCCACAAAGGTACATATTTGGTTTACTAAATATTGTGGGTAGCATCACAATTCCTGTGACCCCCTGCTTCCTGTGTTCTGCAAAGAGCTGAAATGGATGGGTGGTTCATGAGGAAGAGAGGTCCAAAGTCCATCCTGAAGGACATTTTGATATTATACTGTGATTTTAGTCACTTACATTGACAACACCAGTTATACATGAATTGGGCAACCTTCTCCAACCCATCACCCTTCAGGCATTCAATTCTCATCATCCCTGGTCAACTCACAGGCTGGTGGTGATTAAGAGAGTAGCAATTCTGCCTTTCTGGTATTGGGCTGGAGAAGACTGACTTACACTTTGATGAGATGTAGTGTTAGATCTGCATATCTCTACCCTGCAGAGAGCACTGAACATTGCACCAACTCTCTATTTAGCAGTGAAAGTTTAACCACTATTGTCTTATTTTTAATACTGAGGTTTGCAGTGGACAATCCACAATATTTGTCTCTATTGTCTCAGATTTGATCTGACAGTGGCATCCTTTCTCCATTTTTTGAAAGTGTGATATTGATTGGTGGTAGCACAAAAATAGTGTGGAAATCCTTAATGCATATAGTAGAACTTCATTGAATTGTGAAAATCCTACTTCCAAGCTTTGTGAATGTACCTTCTTTCTCGGATGTTGCAGAAAGAAGTCAGGGAGACATTGTAAAAGAATGTATTTAGTACCTCCTTCTAAAATGTCTCCCTGCCTCTAGAAAGCAGCTTTCTCTAGAACATGCTGCTGCAGCTAATTACTACCCTACATTTTTTGCTGGAGTTCAGTGAAGGAAATGACTTTATTCTTCTCCCTGATACTATTGAAGTGCTGTTCAAATTCTCCCCCAGCCAGTAAATGGTTGTAACAGCACATCAGTAATGAAAGCTGCTATTTTGAGGGGAATGGGAGAGAATGAGGAATTGCATGAATATGATTTGCCCACACAATGTATAATCCTGCTCATTATATAATAACAATATTTTATTTATATTCCACTCTGTCTCCCCGAGGGGATTCAGGGTGGATTACAACATACACAGACAAACAAACAGGCAAACATTCCGTGCCTTTAATACAATGAAATAACAATGATGCATAAATACATACAACAAGGTAAAGGCTTCCCCTTTCATCTACATCTTCTGGAGATGGTGCTCACACTGGCCATGGAGAGGTGCTCTTTTTCCATTTCCAAACCAAGGACCTGTTGTCCATAGACACCTCTCTGGTCATGTTGCCAGCATGGTTGCGTGAGTGCCTTTATTACTTTCCCACCTAAGCGGTATGTATTGATCTACTCACATTTGCATGTTTTTGAACGGTTAGGTTGGCAGGAGCTAGGGCTAACAGCGGGAGCTCATCCCGACCCATGGCTTTGAACTGCCAAACTTCAGGTCAGCAGATTCAGCAGTACAAGAGTTTAACCCACTGCGCAAACTATGAAATATGCTTCCAGTCTCAGGATTATGGGGTGATGTTGAAAAATAGCTATTTTATAGTCAGAAATATTTTCTGTTCAGTCCCTGAATTAGATCATACCAGCCCCTTTTTGCAACCCATTGGGTTCCATAGTTGGTCCTAGCTGTTCTGCTGTGCAGATGCTATTTCTCCTCTGCTCTTTCTGCCTGCATACTTTTGATAGATTATTAATATTAATAATAATAATAAGAAGAAGAATAATAACAATAACTTTATTTTTATGCCTCACCTCCATCTCCCCGAAGGGACTTGGGGCGGCTTACATGGGGACGAGCCTGGATAAACATAGATTAAAAACACAATGCAATGCAATGCAATAATATAAACACATCATAATAACACAGATTAATGATATATTGGATTGTTGTAAGAGTTAGTGCAAGGATTAATTCCTGAAGCTTTTATAAGCCCACTTCTTTAAAGAATCCCTGCTAACCTTTCTGCACTTTGGGCCAATATCTCAGAAGCAGAATAATTATATCTTAACCTCATTCACAAGATTAAGGTCTCTTCATTTTTTAACTGGCTTGAAGGATTTCTTAAAATGCCATTATTGTTGTCTACTGAGATGGCAGGATGGCCACTACTATACAAAAGATGTGCCTCCTTCATGTCAGCATTTCCACCCATACTGCAAGATAATGCAGGTCTAGGAAAATAAAATGTCAGAAATCAGGAATAGGCACAGAAATAATATGTGGCATCAGAAAAATGAAGTCTAGTACAAACTATGAATGAAATAATGAAAATGGACCCAATTTCTATTTATTTGTTACTCCTTGCATTCATAGTATTCAGTATTTAATTTTGTCTGCAAAACTAAAAAATGATGATAATACATAAAATGCTGCACTGATTCAGTTTCCTCTTTTTGATGTACTTTGTGAGTGTAAATTACAAGAAACTGGCATCCTTAAAATAAAATAATTTGTCTAAAAAGGATGAACATGCGTTTCCTTTTCACGGCCCAGATAGAATCTGCAGAGCGGAACAGGGTCCCAGTGGCCCCAGCCATTCGCATCTTTGCCTGTTACATTTGTGATCTTTCAATTTTGAATGGCAGTCGTGCTTTTATTAGTTGTGTGAGAAAAAGTAATTCAATGGATAAAGATTTTCTCACCATACAGAGATGGAGGAAGGCTTTATAATTCCTCTTGATGATGTCATGTTATGTGCCTTCAAGGCAACGTGGATTTATGGCCATCTTATCGTAGGGTCTTCTTTGGGTTGTGGTTAGCACTTTGTAACCATCAGCTACAGAAAATCTTGCCGACCAGAAGGTTGGCAGTTCAAGCTTCGGGTGGGGTGAGCTCCTGCTATCAGCCCAGCTTCTGCTTAAAAAAGCAATGTGAGTAGATAAATAGGTACTGCTGTTAGCAGGGAGGTAAAAGGTGCTCCTGAAGGCATGCTGGCAATTTGTTCAGGAAGGAGGCATTCATGGATGGCAAGCTCCTCGGCGTGGAGAAATGGAGCAGCAGCACATCCCCATGGCCAAGTTGAGCACAGGCTTCAGATGCTGGAAATGAAAAAGAGGGGAAGCCTTGCCTCTGTCTATGTATTGTCTGTCTTTGTTTATTATTATTATTATTATTATTATTATTATTATTATTATTATTTACTGACACAAAACACAGTATGTCGCAGCAAACAAGATCTATATGCTGGATTTCATATCACAAAATCACAAGTTGAACACTTCTCAAGTGTCTAGGATTGTGTGATGTATTTTTGAATGATGTGTGCAGATCCAAGTAAGGTGGCCTTTTGCAGTTGAAAGATTGTGATTCTGTCAATGTTTATTGTTTCCAAATGCCGGCTGAGGTCTTTTGGCACAGCACCCAGTGTGCCGATTACCACTGTGACCACCTGTCCTGGTTTATGCCAGAGCATTTGCAGTTCGATTTTGAGGTCCTGATAACAGCTGAGTTTTTCCTGTTGTTTTTCCTCAATGCAACTTTCACCTGGTATGGCGACATCAGTAATCCAAACTTTTTTCTTTTCCACAATTGTGATGTCTGGTGTATTGTGTTCCAAAACTTTTGTCAGTCTGGATTCAAAAGTCCCACAGTATTTTTGTGTGTTCATTTTCCACTACCGTTGTGGGTTTATGATCCCAACAATTCTTTACTGCTGGTAAGTGGTACTTGTGACATAAGTTCCAGTGAATAATTTGGGTCAAAGAGATGTGCCTTTGTTTGTAGTCCGTCTGTGCGATTTTCTTGCAGCAGCTGAGGAGATAATCAATGGTTTCATCAGCTTCCTTGCACAGTCTGCATTTTGGGCCATCAGCTGATTTTTCAATTCTGGTCTTAATTGCATTTGATGACTTGCTCCTGGGCTGCAAGAATCAGGCCTTTTGTCTCCTTCTTCAGGGTTCCATTCATGAGCCATAACCAGGTCTTCTCTTTATCAACTTTTCCTTCAATTTTGTCAAGGAACTGCCCATGCAATGCTTTGTTGCGCCAGCTGTCAGCTCTGGTTTGTAGTGCAGTTTTCTTGTACTGTTTCTTTGTCTGCTGTGCTTTGAGAAGTTTTCAATTATTGACTTCAGTTAAAGCAGGTTCTTGGCTGTATTATTATTATTATTATTATTATTATTATTATTATTATTATTATTGCCATTGTTTTCCTCTGAGGTTGGAAGACTTCATCTAAGACCAGCCAGTAGTTTTCTTTGAACAGAAATTGGACCATTATCTTCCAAAATCCTAGTCCAATTCTCAAACCATTATCTGACATGGTCTCTCCTCTGTTAAGTGCCTATGTGTACAGTCAGTTCCATGGATTCTGCATCCATGGGTCCAAAAATCCATGGTTTGAAAATTTTCCAGAAAAAAATATTCCCAAAAGCAAACCCCAAATTTGCAATCTTATTATACCACTGTATATAATGAGACTTGAGCAGCCACAGATTTTGGTATCCGTGGGGTGTCCTGAAACCGAAACCCCTGTGGATGCCATGGGCCCACGCTAATGAAAATTTTGGAGAACTCGAAAGATTTTGTCAAGATACAAAAGAACTGGAAATATGTGAATTGTAAGTAGTCCTCATACAGTTAAATGAAAAAATCTGTAAGTTTCCCAAAACACAAAATGCTGTCTCGTTGAAAAGTAAAAACTGATAGAAACATGAAAAACTAGAACATTGTTGGTCATCAGTTTTGCAGGGAAATGCATTGTCTGCTAATGCTAATATTATCACAAGGAGATAAAAGAACCTCTCAGTCCAGAAATTGTACATTTTGTCAATATAGATTCTACCATAGTAATAGTATGTGAATAGCAGCTGACACAAATAACTGTTTCATATTACTTATAATACTATTGAAACTAAATTTACCATGTAATATGAAGCTTTTCAAAATTCTATTGTATAGCATACACATGGATGTTAGACTGCAACTCCCACCAGTCCTAGGCAACACAGCCAATAGGACACCTGATGAGAGTTATCTTTTGGGCTGCTACATGCTTTGTGTTTGTGATCTAGAAGCAGCCAATATTTGAGAAAATTTGCTATCTGACAAACAGCAGGGGTCAGTATATGACAAAATGATTTTCACTTGCAATAAAAAACATGTTACATTTTTTATTTGATTCATTCATTGACCCATTCTGAGTAGTTAAATCTAAAAATCTGAAGTGAAGGCATATGTTTTTATCATGTCAGAAGTAACTTCTGGTGAGAGTGAATTGGCTGTCTCCAAGGACGTTGCCCGGGGACACCCGGATGTTTTACCACGCTGTGGGAGGCTTCATTCATGTCCCTGTCTGATAAGCTAGAGCTGACAGGTGGGAGCTCACCCTGCTCCCCATATTCAAACCACTGACCTTTTGGTCAGCAGTCCTGCTGGCACAAAGGTTTAAATCCATTGCACCACTGCAAGGCACAAACAGAAGCAGTCTTCTGGAGCCAGGGTTCCCACAAAAAACATGTTGGTGCTTAGTGAAACACTATGGATGCATCTACACTGTGGAAGAAATACAGTTTGATACCACATTAACTGCCATGTCTCAATGCGGTGGAATCATGGGAGTTGTAGTTTTACAAGTTCTTTAGCTTTCAATGCCTAAAAGTGCTTTTTCCATGTATTATCGAAGGCTTTCATGGCCAGAATCACTGGGTTGTTGTTAGTTTTCTGGGCTGTTTGGAAAGAATGCTTCTGGAACATGGCCATACAGCCTGGAAAACTCAAAAAAATCTGGTGCTTTTTCTTCTCCAAACTACAAATTCCATAATTCCTTAACATGGATCCATGGCAGTCAAAGTGATATTAAACCGGATTAATTCTACAATGAAGTTGAGCCCTACATCATGATAATTTGTGTCCCATTAACTTTATAAAGAATAGGACAGCGGGCATATGATGTTTTCAAACAGGATTGATAGGCAGCTATGAACTGGTGGTCCATCTTTGGTCTTCATTAGCAGCCCTTTGGCTTTTTTAAAAGATCCAGGATTCACTTTTAGACACAGTATCCATTAGGGGATTTGCATTTCAATAGTAATACCATCTATTTGTAAGGTAGTGATTGATGACAGCTGATGGCTCCCATATTAATAGGACAGCAAATCCACTCCAGGTTTTAAAGAAGTATGCAATTTACTGAAGCTGTGTAGACATAAGCTGTGTAAAATATGTTTAAGGATTTAAAAAACTTTAATGGGGGATACTGTGAAACTGATTTAATTTATCATTCTTGCCACTAAACTATTGTTTTTCCTCTAAATGTATTTAGAGAGACACCAAGCATGACTATGAGAATGTGGACAAGATGGAAGAAGAACTACACTACTCTTCCTTGGTGAACCTGGCACCACGACCTGGTCCTACCTATGTAAACTCAGAGACAGAGTCTGAATCAGAGGACAGCATTCAGTACGCTTCACTGAAGCATTGAACTTCTTGACAGTCACTGGTCTCATATGTTCTTCCCACAAGAAGGATTATTAGTGGGTTAGAGTTCATATTTGCTGTTATGTGTCACTTCTGAGCTTGAGAGTGTTTGACTCACCCAAAGCCACTTATCTTGCATTGTGGTTTTTGCAACTCAGAAAATTTTGAGAGAGAAAGGAGAGATGATATGACTGCATCCAGAGACAATCAAGACCTGGCCTAAGATATCTGCTGTCCTATCATAGACAATAGAAGATATGTGGTTCCTGGGAATGCTGAGCTCTGTGCAATTTGCTGAAGCGTGTCATGATCTAATGGGAAAGATCCATCTTCCTTACTCAGTCCAATGGGAAGGATATGCTGTTGCCCTCATCCTTCTCAACAAGCTAATCTATACTGTAGGAACATTAGAAAGTAAAATGATATCCATTAGATGGCCACCTATACCAATCTGATTTATGTTGACCAGGAAGAAATCTTCAGGAAGAACTTCCTGACTGTGAGAGCTGTTCAGCAGTGGAACTCTCTGCCCCGGAGTGTTGTAGAGGCTCCTTCTTTGGAAGCTTTTAAACAAAGGCTGGATGGCCATCTGTCGGGGGTGCTTTGAATGCAATTTTCCTGCTTCTTGGCAGGTTGTTGGACTGGATGGCCCATGAGGTCTCTTCCAACTCTATGATTCTATGATTCTATAAGTCACAGGTTGGGGATGGGATCTTCTTCCAGTCCTGTATATGCCTGAATTCTACTCAACTTACAAATACCTTCAGCTTAGCTCCTCCTAGGCTGTGTCCAACATCCTGGAGAAGCTAAGGGCCCGTCCAGACAGTATTTTTATCCCAGGAGCTTCTGCAGCAAACAGGAGGGTGGCCAGATACTGTTCCCTGTAAACACCGTAGCAATGGCTACAAAAGGCAAAAAAGTTCAGGAATATCCTGATTTTGAGCCAAATATCTGCATATTCACATGTTTGTATGTCCCTGCAATCGGAAATCACTAGATTTTTTAAATTGAGGTTTGTTCCGAGGTTTTAGATGCTTGTTCCTGATTGGTTGGTTTCTAAAAAGAAGGTGACAGTTTAGTAGAACATGAAAACTTTGTTTGTGTGTCAGAAACTTTATCAAACATGTGGAGGGCACATTTTCTCTGGCAGGACAAAGTTGTGGCCCTTTAGTCAACATTGTATATCTTTTCACAAGAAGAACAATCAGGAATAGCCATGTACAATCCAGGAACAGCACCCTGTTGCTTGATGCCACAAGTACACAACCGAATCTGTCTGGAAAGATGGCCAGACAGCCAGGCTCTAAAAAGTATCAATAATGACAAAGTTCTCTTTCTGGCTTGAATGTGTGTGTTCCTGTTTGAGTGATGACTTGGGCAGAAGTGGTCCTACCCCATAAACTTTGTGTGGCAAATACTTAATGAAATATCTGGAGGGCACAATTTTTCTGGCCAGGACAAAGAATGGAACTTTTGCAGTAATTCACTGCAGTGATTCTCTGCATATCCGTGTATCCACATTGAGGGATTTTTTTTAAAAAAATGTTAAAGTTTCTGTTGGAAGTCCCACAGCAGCTGTCTTGGGAGTCTCTGAATCTCACAACAATGCTTCAAGTCTGGACAATGGAGGCAGAAATCCCAGGACCAACAGGTCTTTATGTGGACCTCTTCTTAAGTCCTGGGACTTTTTGCCCCTGTTTAAAACCTGTGATTTTGTACTGTCTGGAAGCACTGCTAAAACCCGGCAACAAACCTGGGTTTGTTTCCAGGTTTTAGATGTTTGTTTCTGATTGGTCAGTTCCTAAAAAGAAGACGACCGTTGAGTAGAACACGAAAACTTTGTTTGTGTGCCAGAAACTTCATGAAACACGTGAAAGGAATGGTTTCTCCAGCCCGGAGAAAGACTGGAATTTTTGCAGTGCTTCACATATTCACATATCTTCATCTTGGGTTTTTTTTTAAAGTTTCCGCAGACGTCCTGCAGTGGCCATCTTGGGAGCCTTTAAAATTTGCAACAAAGCATGAAGTCTGTACGATGGAGGCAGAAATCCTGGGGCCAACAGATCTGTATGTGGATCTCTTTTAAAGTCCCAGGATTTTTTTTGCCCTTCACTAAATCCTGAGATTTGCTGCTGTCTGAAACAGTCCTAAGATATTTATTTTATTTTGTTGTGACAGGGCAACCTTTCAATTATATTACATTTCTAACAGAACAAAGCAAACAAACAGACAAAATACAAAATTGTGAGTTTGGTAGTTGATTAAATGTCCTTTGACCAGTATCTGGCCACTTGGAGTGCTTCTGGTGTTGCTGCAAGAAGGTCCTCCATTGTGCATGTGGCAGGGCTCAGGTTGCATTGCAGCAGGTGGTCAGTGGTTTGCTCCTCTCCACACTCGCATGGCGAGGATTCCACTTTGTAGCCCCATTTCTGAAGGTTGGCTCTGCATCTCGTGGTGCCAGAGCGCAGTCTGTTCAGCGCCTTCCAAGTCGCCCAGTCTTCTGTGTGCCCGGGGGGAGTCTCTCATTTGGTATCAGCCATTGATTGAGGTTCTGGGTTTGAGCCTGCCACTTTTGGACTCTCGCTTGCTGAGGTGTTCCAGCGAGTGTCTCTGTAGATCTTAGAAAACTATGTCTTGATTTAAGTCATTGATGTGCTGGCTGATACCCAAACAGGGGATGAGCTGGAGATGTCTCTGCCTTGGTCATTTCACTATTGGCTGCTACTTCCCGGCGGATGTCAGGTGGTGCAATACCGGCTAAGCAGTGTAATTTCTCCAGTGGTGTAGGGCGCCACCCCGTGATAATGCGGCATGTCTCATTAAGAGCCACATCCACTGTTTTAGTGTGGTGAGATGTGTTCCACAATGGGCATGCATACTCAGCAGCAGAGTAGCACAGCGCAAGGGCAGATGTCTTCACTGTATCTGGTTGTGATCCCCAGGTTGTGATCCCCAGTCCTAAGATACCAGCTCAGCAATAGTACTTCTCTTTGTTTCTGAGATCAAAGAGGTCTTTTGCCATTGGGATGCATTGTTCCCTTGTAGAAATACAGGAACTTCACTTATAACAAACTGGCTCAGCATTTGTTTGCAACAGAGGTGATCAACTTTGCAAAGTGGGGGGGGGGGGAGAGATTTGCTCCCCACTCTTGATAACACACTGTACTCATCTTTTAAGCTTTTATATGAGCACAATCATATTTGCCAAAGCTGCAAACAGAACTTCCTGCTATTATTTCTAATGCAGTTCCATTGAGCATGCCAAACTTTGACTTTCTACCTGTAAATCAGATTCTCTCCAACTGACGTGTTCTCCTTAATCTAGGTTTGTAGTGCTATGAGCCCTCGTTTTCCAAAAGCTAATAAAAACATCTGTTTCTAAACATTATTATTCCATGTTTATCTTTGTGTTTTCTCTGTACTACAGTGTGATTGTTCTGACATCATGACTATTCATGGAGTTTGCTTTCAACTCCAGCTATACTATCGATTGAACAAACAGTAATAACCCATGTTTTGCAAAGCATTCCCTCAGCAGCAGTCTTTCTTCATAGTAACCAAATGCATTCTGTGTCTCATTTAACAGAAATGGTAATGATTTGAAAGGCAACTCTGCTATATATATATATAGATAGATAGATAGATAGATAGATAGATAGATATAGATATAGATATATATATAGATATTACATATTTTTCTTCTGATAATTCTAATAAGCATGTTTATTTATTGTTAGTTACATTTATATCCCATCTTTCCTCCAATGAAGTATGTATCACTACTTCATTATCTCTCTTTGAACAGCAACCTTGTGGAGTAGAATCATAGATTCATAGAGTTGGAAAAGACCTCGTGGGCCGTCCAGTCCAACCCCCTGCCAAGAAGCAGGAATATTGCATTCAAAGCACCCCTGACAGATGGCCATCCAGCCACTGTTTAAAAGCTTCCAAAGAAGGAGCCTCCACCACACTCCGGAGCAGAGAGTTCCACTGCTGAACGGCTCTCACAGTCAGGAAGTTCTTCCTAATGTTCAGATGGTATCTTCTTTCTTGTAGTTTGAAACCATTGTTCCGCGTCCTAGTCTCCAGGGTAGATCACGTTTAGACAGAGTGGCTGGCATAAGGTCAGCATGTGGGTGTTAGTTTGGACTAGGATCTAGATCAGTAGTTCTCAACCTTTTTTGACCAGGAACCACTTGATTAGGGACCACTTGACCAAGGACCACTATAACCAGGGACCACTCTCCAACATTAGTACCAAAAGGATTACAAATGGGTTTTTGGTCAACTTTGGATTCTTTTTGGTTATTTGGGGTGCTGGTTCAGAATATTTCATTGGATAGACCACATCAGCTCTAGTTCCTGGTACAGAACATAAGCCACCCAGTAGTCGCCATCTGCTCACCCACAGAAAACCATATTTAATAATCTAGAGCTGATGTGGTAGTAGTGATTTTTCATGAGTAGTAAGCCTCTTCCTTCCTGACATCCCCATTGCCTTGGCACTATAAGAGCGTTTCGTGAGATCAGTTGTCACATGGTTTCGAAGCAATGGTGAGGCCATAGACCATATTTTTGTTCTTGGGGACCACTGGTGGTTCACGGACTACAGGTTGAGAACCATTTACCTAGATTTTGTAACAACGATTATAATAATTATTACACAGATTCCTTATCTAGTTGTAATCATCAGAAAATTAATGTAAGGTTGGATCTTCTTTCCATCAAAAGTTATATTGCTGACTCTCATGTGTATATACAAAAAATATGCATATGATTGAAAAATAAGTTGCACTTTGACCAAAGATTGTTCTGAATTTCCAAGTGACTAGACATTTCAACTAATTAACTTTTAATGAGGTTTTAAAACATTGTAACCTCTGTACTGTTTTAATTGGTTTTGGGGGCTGAGAGGTGATACCGAAATACATTAGTCAGATTAGACAGACAGACACAGAGAACACAAAGCATCCCAGCCTCTAAATGGTGCTCTAAACTGCCATCTTATATTTGGCTTTAGCAAAATCTGAAACTTTTTGGTATTGTAGAATTTCCATTGAATATTCCTGCCATTTTATGGTGTTGCATAATACATTTCCTTCCCAAAATACTCAACAATGAAATCACTACCAGTCAGAGCAAACCATTCTAGAATGAGATGGCAAAAGGTCATAGTGCAGTACACTGCAGCTCTATATGAATTAATGTATTGCAAAGCATATGATGCCCAACCTTAACTGTATTAAATTTAATCAGATTTAAAGAGAGGGAAGGAGTTCTTTTTTATTTCCTTTGGTGGTGATGGGGAGGGGAGAGGAGTGGGAAGTTTAATTTTCTGTTCACTTTCAGGAACTTCACCAACCATGCCTATTTTACTGTCACAACATTATTTGTCTGTGTTTCTTAGGCAACAGACATCTTTCACAACACTGCTAGCTAGTCTTCTTCTGAAGCCCTTCAACACTTCTGCATTTTGAACATGAGAGCTTGAGTCACAATATTTTTTTTAAAATAGAGACATTAATGAGTTCCAGGAAGCTCGAGAATTGGCACAGGTGGACACATTTAACAAAAATGCAAAACAGACACTTTTTCTTTTGACTTATGTTTACCTGGAAGTTCTTCCTAATCTTGAGATGGAATCTCCTTTCCTATAATTTGAACCCATTGCTCCTAGTCCTAGTTTCAAAGACAGCAGAAGACAAGACTGCTCCTTCTTCCTTATGACTCCCTTTCACATATTTATGCATGTAGTAGCCATCCCCTGCCATGCGTTGCTGTGGCCCAGTCTGTGAATATGTGTTTTGTGTGTATATATATGTAACATATGTTTGTATATATTTATGTATATGTGTATATATGTGGTTATGCACATGCGTTGTAATGTATTTTTTATTTTCTGGTTTTTAAGTCCCTTCAGCTATGTTTTTCAGTGTTTTTATGAGTGATGGTCACTCGTTGGCCTGATAGGTGTATTGCGTCCAAATTTGGTGTCAATTCATCCAGTGGTTTTGAGTTATGTTAATCCCACAAACGAACATTACATTTTTATTTATATAGATTGTTGAAGGCTTTCATGGGTTATCGTAGACTTTTGGGACTGTATGGCCATGTTCTAGAAGGACCTCACAACCTCTGAGGTCCTTCTAAAACATGGCCATACAGCCCAAAATGGATGCAGGCGAAATGTCAGGAGAGAATGCTTCAAGAACATGGCCATACAGCCTGAGAAACCTACAACAACTATTAATACATGGCTATAACGTCTCCTCTCAACCTTCTCTTCTGCAGGGTAAACATACCCAGTTGTTTAAGACGCTCCTCATAGGGAATGGTCTCCAGACCTTTGATTATTTTAGTAGTCCTTCTCTGGACACCTTCCAACTTGTCAATATCTCTTTTGAACTGTGGTGTCCAGAACTGGACACAGTATTTATTTATTTACCACATTTATACAGGTTAGCAACAATTTGGTGCCCTATAAAACAATCGATTAAAATAGACAATTATATTAAAAGCCAACATTTAAACATCCCCCAGTCCAAATTCGTACCCCAGGGCCATTCTAATTGTTGCATTGTACAAATTTCATATCAGTTTCATAAAATGATAGAATCATGGAGTTGGAAGAGACCTCGTGAGCCATTCAGTCTAACCAGCTGCAAAAAAGCAGGAAAATCCCATTCAAAACACACCTAACGGATGGTCATCCAGCCTCTGTTTAAAAGCCGCCAAAGAAGGAGCCTCCACCTCACTCTGGGGCAGAGAGTTCCACGGCTGAACAGCTCTCACAGTTAGGAAGTCCTTCCTAATGTTCACGTGGAATCTCCTTTCTTGTAGGTTGAAACCATTGTTCCACATCCTAGTCTCCAGGGAAGCAGAAAACAAGTTTGCTCCCTTCTCCCTATGATGACTCCTCACATATTTACACATGGCCACATCTCCTCTCAGCCTGCATCAATTCACTGATCAAAGGCCTAGTCCCAAAGCCATGCCTTCACTTTTTTCTGAAGGCTAAGAGGGAGATCACTGATTTAATTTCCCTGGGGCGGCAGTTCTATAGCTGAGGGGCCACCCTGAGAAGGCTCTATCTCTCGTCCCCACAAACTGCACCTGTGAAAGAGGCGGGACTGAGAGCAGGGCCTCCTCAGGAGATCTTAACCTCTGTGATGGTTCATAGGGGGAGATGTGTTTGGACAGGTAAGTAATTCAGGTGAGGTCTGATCAAAGCAGAATACAAAGGCACAATGACTTTCCTTGAAGCAGCCCAAAATCCTATTGGCTTTTTAAGCTGCTGCATCACACTGTTTGTTCATGTTCAACTTGTTGTCCACGGAAACTCCAATATCTTTCTCACAGGGACTGTTGTCGAGCCAGGCATCACTCCTCATATATCTTTGTATTTCATTTTTTTTCTGCCTGAGTGTAGTATTTTACATTTGTCCTTGCTGAAATTCATTTTGTTAGTTTTGACCCAGCTCTCTAATCTTTTAAGGTCATTTTGAATTCTGATCCTGTCCTCTGGAGTATTAGCTATCCCTCCTAATTTGGTGTCCTTAAATGTCCTAAGCCTAGTCCGTGTTGTCTCCCCCCACCCCAAATGGTGACTTCTGTCCATTGCTGGATTTTTATTTATCAAGGCCCATGTAGGACCCAAAATACTCTTCATATGCCCAGGAGATATGATATTCTTTTATTTCAAGTTATTTAGAAGATTTGGGGCGGTATCAGTGTATTTTGGTAATAGTGCAGTTGTCCAAGTTCTGCTTGGTTGAGAAAGATGGGTGGGCCATAACCACTCCAAAATTTAGAATGTGTCTTTCTTTTAGGTGTTTGGCATCGATTACTCAGCGAAATAAGCAGTGTATTAGCTGCTCACTCCCATGACTTTTCCCCCAGAAACTGACCTCAGATTTGATATCATGGTTCTAAAAAGGGTTTTGAGAATACATCTCTTAGTCTCTTTTTGTGGGCATTATTTTGCATCAGTCAACCAACAAAAGCTTTATTTGATTATAAGGATCATCTTCCTACAGTGTGATGGCACGCTCGAGCCTTTGGGAAAAAATTGTATACCTTCTGTTAAGATTCAGACCCTTAACACACAGAGGCACTTTAGGCAAGGTGAAAAGATAACCAAAATGAGTTTACCGAAAACAAGATGAATAAAGAGTTAAATTCACCTGAGACTATTATAAGGTAACTTAAAACACTACATTACAAAAGGAGCCTTTGCTGGCTTTAGTCATCTCTCTGGAGACTTCTGCCTCTGGTGCAAAGCGATGGTTTACAAGCTGTTGTTTATAAGCTGTCTCAATCCTCTTTCTTGTGAAGCTTTAGCTGGTCAAAAGCTTCTGTTATCGCTGGGATTGATGGTATAAGAATACTGCTGAATGCAGGTGCTAAGGATGCCTATTTTGAATTGCTTGGGTCTAGGATTACGAGAAAATACCCAAGCGTCTAGTCTCTGCGGCAGAAAAAGGAGTCGAGCAAAAGAGCTCTATACAGGAAAATGGAATAGACCAACTAAGGCTGGCCTCTACAGAGTTTTTATGCTCCACCCAAAACTGATACAAAGGAAGGTATCTACACTATTGGGAAAACCTATAAACAGGGGGAACTGAAGCAGAGGAGAGGAAAAGGCAGAGATAAGACTTCACAAACATCCTTCCGTACAGAGAAGAGTTAGCGATATCTGTTGGGCCCTGCTGATGTTTTGGATTATATTTCAATGAGATGCTTTATTATTTCCTTTATGGGTTGAAGCATTTATGCAAGAGAGGCACATTTTGGTCCAAAGCATATGATCGTTCTTTTTCTGAACTAAAGCTCCTAGTGGTCTCTCAGCTAACACAATTATTGATAGGAAACTATGATCATTTTCATTTCATTTCATTAAGAGGCCCTCTTCCCTTAAACAAGTCCTGACCTTTCAGGTACTTTATTGGCTAATGTGAGCATATTTACTTTGGTGCCACTCAGCGGCAAGGCATACCAATCTCATCTGCAGTAAACAAGTTAACCTGTGCAAGAAGGTATTTTGTTGCTGGGGAACCCAGTTAAATGTGGTGTGGCAAAATGGTTTTCACACTGTGGAGCATGCTTACTGGGAGCTCACCTGAAGTTGCAGTTTCTCAAGTCGCTCCTGACATGAAAAAAAACAACAAACCTTACTTAGTTACTTAGGCAATCCCTCATTGTCTGAGTACGTTGGATTTACAAGTGTAGGGTCTTAGTAGTGGCTCCATAAATGGCTGTGGAGTCCTATTCTCAATCTGCGTGTTCTTCCACAGTGAGGAACATCGGTTTCCAGGTGGAAGGCAGTCCCTTCCACCTGGAAACCAATAGATTGGCACGTCTTCCTCTTGGCACGTTTCTCTGTTTCACCCTCCATTTGAGCCTCTTCAAATTCTGCAGCACTGCTGGTCACAGCTGATCTCCAGATAGAGCGCTCAAGGGCCAGGGCTTCCCAGTTCTCTGTGTCTATGCCACAGTTTATAAGGTTAGCTTTAAGTCCATATTTAAATCTCTTTTCCTGTCCACCAACATTTTCTTTTCTGTTCTTGAGTTGGGAGTAGAGTAACTGCTTTGGTAGATGGTGATAGGGCATTTGGACAATGTGGCCAGTCCAGCGGAGTTGATGGCATAGGAGCATTGCTTCAGTGTTAGTAGTCTTTCCTTCTTCCAGCATGCTGACATTTGTCCACCTGTCTTCCCAAGAGATTTGCAGGATTTTTGGAGGCTCTGATGGAATCATGTCCTTTATCAATAACAGTGTGATACAGATATTGGGATTATTTTCCATATTAGCATCATGATGAGACCATTTAGCATTATGTTTATTAACATTTGTGAAAAATGACATGACAAGACACTTGTGTTGTCAAGCAGAGGCATTAATTTTTTTTCCCCTCTTTTGGTTGATGTTCTTTAGAAAATAAACTTTCCAGTGGTTACTGGAGTGTATATCCTTCCTGATTCTCTTAAGCCTTAACGGAAGCAACATCATATGGCCCACCCATCATTCAAACAAATATTTTTTTTAAAGTAAGTGAAAGGGTCTGCTTGGTATCGGCATAGGGTGGATGATCAAAATGTGAAAAAATCATTTCTGAAAGATAAGCTGAGGAATCAGGCTCAGAAGTTATTTGCCAGTTATATATTAATTTTATTGGAGTCATTTTTCTTACTTTTAAGTAATAATTTTCCAAAACGAATAATTAGAAATCTGTATTAAAACCTATAACATTAACATAAATTGTTGAATTTTTTCATGTCAGGAGCGAGTTGAGAAACTGCAAGTCACTTCTGGTGTGAGAGAATTGGCTGTCTGCAAGGATGTTGCCCAGGGGACACCCAGATGTTTTACATCCTGTGGGAGCTTTCTCTCATGTCCCTGCATGACGAGCTGGAGCTGACAGATAGGAGCTCACCCCATTCCTGGCTTTGAACGACTCACCTTTTTGTCAGTAGTCTTGTTGGCACAAGGGTTTAACCCATTGCACCACCAGAGAAGGACCTCGTAAAACTACAATTACATTTTTTCATATCAGGAGCAGCTTGAGAAATTGCAAGTTGCTTCAGGTGTGAGAAAATTGGCTGTCTGCAAGGACATTGTCCAGGGTATGCCCAGATATTTGAGGTTTTACCATCCTTCTCTCTCATGCCCCCGCATGGGAAGCTAGAGCTGACAGAGGGAGCTCATCCATGCTCAAATAATTCAGATAATCCCATCACACTGATACTTTGCTGTAGATGTGTTATTTCACATCTGCAATTATTCCCTTTGTGGATCTGTCTGCCAGCTCTAGGCTAGATGCATCACGTCTTCGTTGTCGAAAAGATCACTGCATTTATCACACAACTTGGGCCTGTGTATGTCACCATCAAGATCTTGGGCCAAAAATGTGAGCTTTAAAAAACTAACCTTTTCACATTTTGACCTGTGCTCCCAATTTTACCTCAAAAGTAATTCAGCTAGAAAACGTCAAAGAGATCTGTTCCTGTTTTCCATTCCTCTTTCCTGTCACCCTCATCAATCCAAGTGTATTCAGGAGCCCAATGGTCCATTAATAATGCCTGCTTTTGCAGGCTTACCGGGAAGTTTATGACTTTATTGCCTTGGTACAAGGTCATCCTCACTGAACAATCTTTCATGGCCCATTTCACCTTGATTACTGCTTGCTCCTTGCTTTTTACATCCATTCCTTATTCTATCACACAACTACTTTGCACTAAACCAAATACATCCTTAATACTGCAAGCTGCTGCAGAATGGACAAAGGAAACTGGTAGGAGAGGGGCAAATGTCTTGGGCTCAACTTACACTCTGATTCCTGATGCTATGGGAACCTTGAAGATCATCTCCTTGGTTGTCTATGGGATCACCTTCCTTCTAGGGCTGCCCTCCAATGTCCTAGCTCTCTATGTCTTTTATTGTCGTGCCAAGGTACGTGTGACACCCAACCTCATCTATATGATCAACCTGTGCCTCTCTGACCTAGTCTTTGTTCTCATCCTACCCCTGAAGATGCTAGCAGTGTGGAAAGGGAACTGGACCCTGCCAGGCTTCCTCTGTGCTCTTTACAATATAATCCACTTTGGCACAATCTATGCCAGTGTCTGTTTTCTGACTGTTGTCAGCGTGGGACGCTTTCTGGGAGTTGTTTTCCCTATCCAGTATCAGATTTACAAGAATCCTTGTTACTCGTGTCTAGTTTCTCTGGGAATATGGAGCATAGTAGGATTCCATGGGATTCTTCTCTTTGTCCTGGAGAACACCAAGGATCTTAGTCCCAGACTCTTTGCTGATGACACCTGGACTTGCTATAGCAACTTTACTGACCAGCAGTTGGCCTTGTTGCTTCCTATTCGGCTGGAGCTGTCTGTAGTATTGTTCTTCCTCCCCTTGGCCATCACTTTTTTCTGCTATGCTGCCTGCATCCGGGTCCTGGTTGGATCACATCTCCATGTGCAGAAGAAGCGCCGTGCCGTGCGGGTGGCAGTGGCCACTCTCTTCCTCTTTGTCCTCTGCTTTGGCCCTTACAACATCTCCCATGTTGTGGGCTTCATCCTCGGAGAAGATCTCTGGTGGCGTAGTGTGACTCTCCTCCCAAGTGCCTGCAATGCTTTCCTGGATCCTCTTGTATTCTACTTCCTATCTACTGCTGTGGATGATGGGATAATCCAAGTGTGGCGATCCCTGAAGGAAAAATGTAGTTCCCTCAGGATGAAAATTTCTTTGACCCATGGAAAACAAGGAAACCAACAAAAAGCTTTGAGCATTGCCTGAGCGATTGAAAATTGTCTTCTTTTACCATTCTGTCTCACTCTTGTGGTCTCCAAAATATTAGATGGAAAAATTACACATGGAACAATATATAATAAAGTAATCATACAGCTGTCACTTTGTAAAGGAGATTAGGCGAGATGTCAAGAGGAACAACAATGAATTATAACGAACATGGATGTAACATGTTTGAAGATCATCATCTTAATAACTGAATGAGGTGAGGAACCAGGCCAAAGGAAGATGCAGTCTTAGAACTACAGGTTTTCTTTATCACAGTAACCATCTGTTATATTGGAAGACTAAATTGACAATTGGGTAAGACAAAGAAAAAAGGATTTGTTGTTAATTTTCACACATGTTATATGAGCGGATCATGGATTCATGGAGGATCTTTTGGATGACATATTAGTTCATGGAGGAACTCTTGGATGACATATTAGTTCAAAATAAATTTGGGTCCAAATGTCACATTATGTGGAGGATCTATAGTTGAATCTTTAGGAAGGAAGGAGAGAAGGAAGGAAGGAAGGATATGTACCAAATAAGAACTGAAGCATTATCTTGCAATGTAAAGAGGAATAACCCTAAGGGAACCTGAGAACATTCAACTAAACTATGTCTACTTCTGGAACTAAATGAAAAAGAAGGTCTTACTGTGAGGTTTTTATGTAATCAAGGGCTAAGATGACCATCATTACTATGTGATCAACTATGTGTTAAATGACAGTGGGTTGTGTATGAGTGTGGGTTCTATACATGGAGATCCAAACTATAGATGGTGCTTCATTTTTCAGAAAAGCAATTGCTATTCAGCATGATCTTTATGGAATGAAATAATCTGTCCCAAATATGCAGTTGTTTGCATGGGACAGCAATTGTGCTGAGGGTGGTGCAGGTGGTGCCATTCTTTTATGTCAGTAGAGCAGTGAATCCTCCCCAGCTTTCACTAACATTTATGTCATTTTCTTCAACATGTGATGGCTCCAAGGTGGAGATAGATAATGTCACCAAGGTGCTAAGCTCTCCCTTTCAAAAGGGAGAGCCTCCTTCTTTGGAGGCTTTTAAGCAGAGGCTGAATGGCCATCTCTCAGGGGTGCTTTGAATGCTATTTTCCTGCTTCTTGGCAGGTGGTTGGACTGAATAGCCCACGAAGTCTCTTCCAACTCTATGATTCTATGATCCTATGAATGCCTTTAAAAGGTGTCTATCCTATTGTTCTGCTTTGATCAAAAGGAAAAGACAGGATGAGACACTGAGGTTTGGAGAAAGGTCCTCCCAAAGAATGTTGGAAGTTAGAGTTTGGTGGAGGTACTAAGAAATGCTGCTAGAGATCCAAAAAAATAATTCAGTATGAAGCAGTCCTGTTAGCTATGCCAGATATTCGTCTCTGTCCATCCACCATCATCCATAATGTTCTGTAGATAACATATATTTTCAGTCCTCATTTACCTTCCTTTTGGTTTTTTCCTTTTTGAAAAAAGTAGCTTGCAAACTTGGTCTTGTAGGTGACTGGTTTGTGAAAGTAAGGGCCCAGCAGTAACACATGGGAAAAAAGAAATAGAAATAATAATTGTTTCCATCTCCTAAACTACATTTTTCAGGATTACTTAGTCAGAATATTAGACAATTCCAATTTCATGTGTAAATGTTCCCAATTCAGATACTTGTAATTAACTTGAGTGCAAATCATGTCACAGCTTTGTTTGGCTTATTTGACCTATAAACATCTATTAATCTATGGAATCTTGCATTAATGTTAGATCCACTGATTGTTCTCACCATCTGCTTGTTTGTATTTACCTGGGTAAGTGCTGATCCAACTATTCAGGGCCAGTATTGAGCTACACTATCAAATTAGCTGTTTGTCAACCACTCTGTGAACGGTTTTGGTCAAAGAGGTTATAAATTATGTACTGTACATATATACTGCGACTCTAAAGCTCTACAATTCAGCAAAGGCAGCATTCTATGATTTTGCCAATTGCACTACAGCTGAGTCTTACTCAGCTGGCAGACCGCTGGATAAGCGAAACTGTTGGATAATAAGAAGGGGTTAAGGAAAAGCCTTTTGAATGTCAAATTACATTATGATTTTACAAATTCAGCACCAAAACCTCATGTTTTACAACAAATCAACAGAAAAAGCAGTTCAATACACAGTAACCTTATGTAGTAATTACTGTATTTATGAATTTAGCACCCAAACATCACAATATATTGAAACAGCTGTGGATCTGGATGGGAGGCAGACTGCATTGGATAATACAGAGCATTGGATGAGCGAAGGTTGGATAAGTGAGACTCTACTGTACTTCTCAAAATTTCCAGCTGAGAAAACAGCCCATTTCTTTATAATGCAGTTTTCCTTCATATCTGTTTTAACAAATGTATGTCCTACATTCTAATCACTAAGGTTGAGTCATTTTGTAATTTTAAAAAATGAATAAAGGAGAGTTTGCAAGTTGACAACAATGTTTACAATATGGAAAATATTTCTTCGGTGGTTTAGTGATAATTGGTGTGCTAAGAACTCAAATGTTCAATGCAAGACAGGCCACCTACTGCATCTTATGTTGCAAACATATTGACTGCACATTCATTCTCTCTCCCCCCGCCTCCCAAGCATGCCTCTCTAGATCCCACCCCCATGGCAAGCTGGATTTGTGGAGGCATGAGAGAGGGCCTTCTTGGTGACTGCCCCTCAACTCTGGAACTCCCTGCCTTTCTGCAGCAGGCTAGAAGCTTTCTTTTCAAGCAGACTTTTCAAGATTAAAGGTTTTACGACCAAGCCAAAGGGTGCTGTGTTTTATGTAGTTTGGTGGGTTTATTGGTTTTAACTGTGTATTTTTAATATTTCTATTAGGTGCAGTCGTTATCTTCTAAAATCATTATTATTTTGGAAAAAATTACCTTTTGAACCAATTTCGAGCCATGCAGGAATAGTGGGAGGAGTAATTCCGAATTTAAACCACTTACCCATTGTTCGGAATTATTTTCGGATGTCTCCCACAGTTATTTTGATTTTTAGAACAATTAAGCAACTTTGGCAAAGCCTTGCGGTTTCCATTCTTGAAGGCCACGTTTTAAAATCTCGCAGTTTCCCTTCCCTGTTAGTTTTAAAATCTCGCGGTTTCCCTTCCCCGGCTGGCGGTGAAGAGGGACAAGATTGGAGCATGTTTAGCCTGAAGAAGAGAAGGCTGAGAGGAGATATGACAGCCATGTATAAATATGTGAGAGGAAGCCACAGGGAGGAGGGAGCAAGCTTGTTTTCTGCTTCCTTGGAGACTAGGACGCGAACAATGGCTTCAAACTACAAGAGAGGAGATTCCATCTGAACATGAGGAAGAACTTCCTGACTGTGAGAGCTGTTCAGCAGTGGAACTCTCTGCCCCGGAGTGTGGTGGAGGCTCCTTCTTTGGAGGCTTTTAAGCAGAGGCTGGATGGCCATCTGTCAGGGGTGATTTGAATGCAATATTCCTGCTTCTTGGCAGGGGGTTGGACTGGATGGCCCATGATGTCTCTTCCAACTCTTTGATTCTATGATTCTAATGGGCGTGGCTAAGAACAGCTCTTCCTGAAGGCCACGCTCCCAGTGACCTTCAGGAAGAGCTGTCACTTAGCCAGGCCCACCTCATCCCTCTTCATCGCCGCCAGGGAAGGGATACTGAGGGATTTTAAAACTGCTTAAAATCTCGCAGTTTCCCTTCTGGTGAGCTGCCATGCAGAGGGACGAGGTGGGCATGGCTAAGCACAGCTCTCCTTGAAGGTCTGGGGGTGTGGCCTTCAAGGAGAGCTGTGCTTAGCCACGCCCACCTCGTCCCTCTGCATGGCAGCTCGCCACCAGAGAAGGGAAACTGTGAGATTTTAAAACTAACAGGAAAGGGAAACTGCGAGATTTTAAAACTGTTTGTTTAGGCTGACTTTGTCAAAGTTACTTAATGGTTCTGGAGGGAGGGAGGGGCAAACGAAGCGATTCGGATTTCCTGCTATTTCTGATCTTTTTTTCAAGAAAATTTCAGAAATCATTTTAAAATCGAATCACCAGCGCCCCCTATATACAAAACGAGTTTAGAACCATTTTTTTTCTTGATCGCCCAAGCCTAATTTCTATGTTTCATTCTATTTTAATGTTTATATGTGTTAGGCTTTAATTCACACACTGTTATGGATTTTAACGTTACCTGCTTTGAATCTCCTTTGGCAGGAGCTACAAATAAGATGGAAGCTACAGTTCAGCAACATCAAGAGAACTACAGCTTCCACACACCTGCTTTAAAGGTGTGTTGTTCCTATACATTGCGGGCCTTATGTTTACCTCCTTCCCTTATTATAAATCTAGTGAAGGGGAAATTGAAAATATGATGATGTCACCCTTCGGTGGTCTCCCTTGCCTAGTATTGAATAAGAGTACCTAAAAATACACAACCTGTGATGGTGTAATATTGCAGACTTCTCCAACATGACGCATAATAAGGAGGAAGAAGTAGATGGGTTTCTCAGAAGCTACAGTGCTGATGGGAATGGGGTGGTTTTAGTCTGAACTTTGAAGGATTTACCCAAGGTGCAAGTCCTATATTGGTGGTAAGAATCCTGCCTATTCCAACTGGTTTATTGGGGATGTATGGATGTCCCTGATTGGCTTTTACTCTGTGTATTAGTAACTAAATGGTAGCTGTTACTCATAGTTAGCCATTTTCCCCATAATATATTGTTATGGAGTTTCATGAATTTGACTGTAAAGCTCATACATGCAAACCCTTGTACATACTGTTGCACCCCAGGCCTGGAAACACCTATGACCACACCATCACTCAAGATTCCAGAATATAAGCAAACAGTTTGTTGTAAAAACACATAAAAGTATATGAAAAAATCAGGAATAAAGAAGATTCATAATCCAAAAAAGAGTTAGGTAATAACCAAACAGGAATCCAAATGTCTCATACAGATCTAAAGGTAATGCAGTCCAGGAATAGACAAAAGTCACAAATACAGCTTAAGTCTACAAGCAAAAGATATACCTAGTTAAACCTGAGCAGGAATAATAAAAAAACAAGAACATAGAAAACTTCCAAGATTTTAAAATCCAAAACCAAGGTTTGACTTGAAACAAGAACCAGAGAACTCAGGCTTAGCTTCTCACTTGAATGCTACATTGCCTGAACCTTAGGAAAACAACTTGCTATCTAATAGAAACTCATGAAATAATTCTGTTTCCCCTGAATTTTCTCCACAACTTTCCCATGTAATTGCTCTGACCTACGGTGCTTATTTTCTGCTCTGATTTGTAAATAAAGACTTTTGTTGCTTTCTGTAGCTCCATTTTTTTTTCCCTGTGAGAACACTTCGCTCTTTACCCAACTCCTTATCTAATGTTGCAGTTTCTGGCACCTCTGACTGACCTTGAAGCCCTGCATTTTCCGAATCAGGTTTCTCACAGAGAGAACCACCATTTCCCTGACTTGAATCTTCATCACTTTGTGACCCAGGAAATCCCATAGGAAATCCCACAATCTTCTCTAAATCATTCAGATGAACCTGAATTTCTTTTTGTCAGGTCAAACAGCAGGCGTTATGTTTAACACACATACATTTGAGCATAATGCAGCATGGGAGAATCCCACTGAGCTGAGTGGAATATTATTTCCCCAAAAAATGCAGTTGACAAGCTTGTGTAAATAAGATCCAGATTTGCAAATGTTATGGCAAGTATACAGAGAATGACTGTGAATCAGGGTTGGCAACATTATGTTGCCACCCAAAAGTGAAACTTGTGTTAAGTGGCAGCACCATGTGCTAAATGTATTATACATTAATTTTCCCATCCCAATCTTTTATCCTAACTTTGAAATAGGTTAGTCTGACAGGTGTTACAATAAGAATGTTATATTATGGAAAAGCTGGGCTTTGTCCTGATATACAATGTGTTTTGAGCAGAAGGGGGTCAATACAAACATGTGCAATGACTCATAGGGCGGTGTAGACACAGGCTCAAGTATCGGAGTTAGGAAGTGGATTAAACCCAACCAGTTCTATTGTGCCTACACAATCACACCAGGAACCGGTTTGAGGATGGGATGTTGGCCAATGGCCACAGTATCTACTGGCTGCAGATTGGAACTGAATCCAGAAATGGTTATTTCTTATCCAGTGAACTGAGATGCGCTGATGCACATTTCCATGTTCATTCGTGATCAGCAC